GTGTTGGGGAAGAGTGAAAACAATACAGTCTCCAGGTTCTACATATGAAACAGCATTAACCAGCACCGTGAGGGAGTTAGAATATTCAACATGGCCAATTCTTTTGAAGGAAATGTATTTGTATAGCACAGTTCATACACAAGACAGTTCAAAGTGCTTAACAAACCATCTGGATTTGAACATTGTCAGAGTAGAAGCCTGTCTCACATTTTCAGGAAGACTGTCTGGATTTTAGTTGCATGAATCTGAAACACTGCCTCCCCATGTTTAGTCCTGACTCTGGGACCAGCAGGAGGCCAGTCCCTGTGCTCCTCAGAGTCCCAGCAGGAGACCAGTCCCTGTGCTCCTCAGAGTCCCAGCAGGAGACCAGTCCCTGTGCTCCTCAGAGTCCGGGCTGGTTCATATGGGACTAACATGTCACTAATATATTTTGGTGCGAGGCCATGGAGAGACTTGTAACAAGCAGAGCTGTTTTAAAGTCTATTCTCTGAGCCACAGGAAGCCAGTGCAGAGACCTGAGGACTGGACTAATATAGTCATACTTCCTGGTTCTAGTCAGGACTAATGTGGTCGTACTTCCTGGTTCTAGTCAGGACTAATGTAGTCATACTTCCTGGTTCTAGTCAGGACTAATGTGGTCGTACTTCCTGGTTCTAGTCAGGACTAATGTGGTCGTACTTCCTGGTTCTAGACAGGACTAATGTGGTCGTACTTCCTGGTTCTAGTCAGGACTAATGTGGTCGTACTTCCTGGTTCTAGTCAGGACTAATGTGGTCGTACTTCCTGGTTCTAGTCAGGACTAATGTGGTCGTACTTCCTGGTTCTAGTCAGGACTAATGTGGTCGTACTTCCTGGTTCTAGTCAGGACTAATGTGGTCGTACTTCCTGGTTCTAGTCAGGACTAATGTGGTCGTACTTCCTGGTTCTAGTCAGGACTAATGTGGTCGTACTTCCTGGTTCTAGTCAGGACTAATGTGGTCGTACTTCCTGGTTCTAGTCAGGACTAATGCGGTCGTACTTCCTGGTTCTAGTCAGGACTAATGTGGTCGTACTTCCTGGTTCTAGTCAGGACTAATGCGGTCGTACTTCCTGGTTCTAGTCAGGACTAATGTGGTCGTACTTCCTGGTTCTAGTCAGGACTAATGTGGTCGTACTTCCTGGTTCTAGTCAGGACTAATGTGGTCGTACTTCCTGGTTCTAGTCAGGACTAATGCGGTCGTACTTCCTGGTTCTAGTCAGGACTAATATGGTCGTACTTCCTGGTTCTAGTCAGGACTAATGTGGTCGTACTTCCTGGTTCTAGTCCGGACTCGAGCTGCTGCATTTTGAATGTACTGCAGCTGTTTTACAGCCTGTTTGGACAGACCTGTGAGCAGGCCATTGCAGTAGTCTAACCTACTGGAGACAAATGCATGGATAAGAATCTCCAAGTCTGCTTTAGACAATTCACATTAAAATCTAAGTATAAAATATTAAAGGCCATTTTCTTCCAAATATGAAGCATGAAAAGCAAAAAACAAAGAAAAGCAAATAAAGCACGAGTCACTACAGAGGAAAACGAGACACTTTTGAGCTCTCTACAACATGTTTGTTTCATTGAATCAACTTTATGTAAAGTGTTGCTCTGAAATCCCAAAAACAATTGGAGCTACGCCCCACGGGAACATTTTTACTGATAACATCAAATGTTCAGGTTTGAACTCTGCCGTGTCCATGTGTTTGAGGTTGTGGTCCGAAAACAAACGCCCTTTTGCTTTTGTTTCATCCACAAACACTGGGCACGTGTTCTTTCTCAGCTGGTCATGTTGTAGCTGTTTCCCCTCGTTTACACAGACTGACAAACCCCTTTAAACCCAATGGAGAAGTGCTCATGGACGAAGTTTTGCTCCAACTCGCTCTGGCTCCTATTGACTTACATTGAAAAGTAAACTCCTCCAGCTCTCTCCTCCCTCACTCATTCTTCTCCTCTCTCCCCTTTCTTAAGTCTCTCTTTGCTCCCAGCTCTCACCCCTCTCCCCTCTCCCCTCACTCTGCTCTCCCCTCACTCCCCTCTCCCCTCTTTAGCACATTTCCCAGCCTGTCACACAGACAGCTTCAGCTTTGAGCAGATGAAGTGAGTCGTATCTGTCCCTGTCAATGCAACACCTAAAGTGAATAATCTAACGACACAAGAATCCACTGGGTCCTCAGTCCTGGGTCTACAGCCTCAGTCCTGGGTCTACAGCTTCAGTCCTGGGTCTACAGCCTCAGTCCTGGGTCTACAGCCTCAGTCCTGGGTCTACAGCCTCAGTCCTGGGTCTACAGCCTCAGTCCTGGATCTACAACCTCAGTCCTGGGTCTACAGCTTCAGTCCTGGGTCTACAGCCTCAGTCCTGGGTCTACAGCCTCAGTCCTGGGTCTACAGCCTCAGTCCTGGGTCTACAGCCGCAGTCCTGGGTCTACAGCCTCAGTCCTGGGTCTACAGTCTCAGTCCTGGATCTACAGCCTCAGTCCTGGGTCTACAGCCTCAGTCCTGGGTCTACAGCCTCAGTCCTGGATCTACAGCCTCAGTCCTGGATCTACAGCCTCAGTCCTGGATCTACAGCCTCAGTCCTGGATCTACAGCCTCAGTCCTGGATCTACAGCCTCAGTCCTGGATCTACAGCCTCAGTCCTGGATCTACAGCCTCAGTCCTGGATCTACAGCCTCAGTCCTGGATCTACAGCCTCAGTCCTGGATCTACAGCCTCAGTCCTGGATCTACAGCCTCAGTCCTGGATCTACAGCCTCAGTCCTGGATCTACAGCCTCAGTCCTGGATCTACAGCCTCAGTCCTGGATCTACAGCCTCAGTCCTGGATCTACAGCCTCAGTCCTGGGTCTACAGCCTCAGTCCTGGGTCTACAGCCTCAGTCCTGGGTCTACAGTCTCAGTCCTGGGTCTACAGCCTCAGTCCTGGGTCTACAGCCTCAGTCCTGGATCTACAGCCTCAGTCCTGGGTCTACAGCCTCAGTCCTGGATCTACAGCCTGACATATATACAGACATGTATTGGTCCTCCTGCTCTCTATGGACCAATGGCTCCTAGACGTTTATTATCATTGCTTTTTGTGTTAAATCTTTTTCATTCTCCGGTCTGTTGTTGAGGAATCGATCGCTTTGTAAAGTCCATGGAGACGACTTCTGTTGTGACTTAATACAAAACATAATCAAATCTAATTTCCTTGCCACAGCCTTCTTATTTATGTACATAGCACTTTGCTGTAATCTCTCTGGAAGCCTTAAAGGGACGGGATTGTGTCAAACGTCGCATACATTAACATTTTAATCAAGTGAAGAGGTCCTATGCATGCGCTGGAGTCATTAGCAGTAGTATTTGTAGCAGTATTAAAGCAGCTTTAGAGGCGCTGGTGTCATGTTAGTCCGGCCTCTATAGCATCCAGTCGATCGGGAGGGGATTCAAAAACCATGCACGTCCTGTCCATGTTTTCAGTAAAAACTCAATATTATTCATTCATTTCAAACAGTTTTGCGTCCCAAAGCAGCCACACACGCCTCCACGATAAGGTAAATAATCTCAGCTGTAAGATTAGAGCCTTACAGAGATAATCCTTCTCAGTTTCCCTCTGCGTATATTCAGACGATTTACTGTCTGTGAGAGCATGAAAAACAATCTTATCTGCCTGTAAACACACACACACACACCTGCTGTGGTCCTGCCGAGCTGCTCTTGTCCTGCCAAACCCGGAACTGACAGACCGCCACGCCAGGAGCCGTCCAATCACGGGCTGTGTTCAGGCTCCTGAGGCTTTAGTGGGCGGAGTCACACAGTATACAGTGAGGCTTACTGTAAATATGCTTCTATTGTCAACAGAGAGTAGACCCCAGGACGAGGTGAAGGAGGAAATGTTAAGCAAGTCCAGGTCAATTCTGAAACTACTACAACTCAAATCACAGGAAATCAGGAAAATGATCAAATATTTTTTTTAAACTGGTGAAAAATGTAGAATTTTATACGGTTTTTACCTTTACTCCCTTTTGCAAAAACTGTTTGTTGAAAGCCACAACTGCTAACTGCTGCTAAACAGTGTGTTGCTATGGTAACAAGGACCAGAACCAAGAACAGAACCAGGAACAGAACCAGGAACAGAGCCAGGAACAGGACCAGGACCAGAACAGGGACCAGGACCAGTACCAGCACATTGGGAAAAAGGGGCTTTACAGTTTTTCTCAGTCGCTTTCGTGCATTATTCAGATCAGACTTGAAGTTCTCAAAACTATTAATTCAACCTCCTCAACATTGAGTCATGTGTGACATCATGTGTGACATCATGTGTGACATCATTGCAGCAGTTTCTCCTTTGAACACATTTCAAATGCTTTTGTTCATGTATCTGTTACTTTCATACAATTCTCTGCTGTTTTTTAACATTATCATTTGCTTCTGTCCTGTCGGTCAGAGTGAAACATATTTAGAACTTCTGAATAGTCTTTCCCTATAAAACCAATAGTCCTCATTTCATCGCTTTAGTCGTCACATAAAAAACTGTTGAACTAGTTCAAAATCATATTAGTTAAGCGAATTTCATCCATCCATACTTTATCTATTTTTCCTGTAAATCTTTACTAAATTGAACATTTTCTCTCAGGTGAATTTCAGCTTCAGTCATGAGGAGGTGTGTGTTTTATTGTTTACATTTGTCACAGTTAAAGGTACAAGTTAGTTTAAAATTATGTTATTATATGTTTTTAAAACAAATAATATTAATTAATTAATTAAAAACATATAAATATATTTATTTAAAATTATAAAACAATGTAACAAATGAAAAATGATGAACATTTTTAAAATATATAGATTTAAGTATTGCCTCCACATGTACAATATGTGACAGTTTGGTACATAACTCTATAAATATAAATGTATTTATAAATATAAAACAACATAGCCACATGAGACACCAGGGGGCGCTGTTCTGTCTCTGGAGCCACATACATCACCACATTATGAGAGAAAGATGGAGCTATTTATAGAACAGGTGCCCAGTGTCCGGCCCCTGCTGAGAGGATCTGTGCTCCATTAGATTAGCAGTGGTCTGACGAGGAGCGTGTGGAGGAGGTGTGGAGGAGGTGTGGAGGAGCGAGTGGAGGAGCGAGTGGAGGAGGTGTGGAGGAGGTGTGGAGGAGCGAGTGGAGGAGGTGTGGAGGAGCGTGTGGAGGAGCGTGTGGAAGAGGTGTGGAGGAGGCGTGGAGGAGCGTGTGGAGGAGCGTGTGGAAGAGGTGTGGAGGAGGTGTGGAGGAGCGTGTGGAGGAGGCGTGGAGGAGCGTGTGGAGGAGGCGTGGAGGAGCGTGTGGAGGAGCGTGTGGAGGAGCGTGTGGAAGAGGTGTGGAGGAGGTGTGGAGGAGCGTGTGGAGGAGGCGTGGAGGAGCGTGTGGAGGAGCGTGTGGAAGAGGTGTGGAGGACGTTTGGAGGAGCGTGTGGAAGAGGTGTGGAGGAGCGTGTGGAGGTGCGTGTGGAGGAGCGTGTGGAGGAGCGTGTGGAGGAGCGTGTAGAGGAGCGTGTGGAGGAGGTGTGGAGGAGGTGTGAAGGGGGTGTGGAGGAGGTGTGGAGGAGGTGCGGAGGAGCGAGTGGAGGAGCGTGTGGAGGAGGTGTGGAGGAGCGTGTGGAGGGGGTGTAGAGGAGCGTGTGGAGGAGGTGTGGAGGAGCGTGTGGAGGGGGTGTAGAGGAGCGTGTGGAGGAGGTGTGGAGGAGCGTGTGGAGGGGGTGTAGAGGAGCGTGTGGAGGAGCGTGTAGAGGAGCGTGTGCAGGAGGTGTGGAGGAGCGTGTGGAGGGGGTGTGCAGGAGGTGTGGAGGAGCGAGTGGAGGAGCAAGTGGAGGAGGTGGGGAGGGGGTGTGGAGGAGCGTGTGGAGGGGGTGTAGAGGAGCATGTGGAGGAGGTGTGGAGGAGGTGTGGAAGAGGTGTGGAGGAGCGTGTGGAGGAGCGTGTGGAGGAGCGTGTGGAGGAGGTGTGGAGGAGGTGTGGAGGAGGTGTGGAGGAGCGAGTGGAGGAGGTGTGAAGGAGCGTGTGGAGGAGGTGTGGAGGAGCGAGTGGAGGAGGTGTGGAGGAGCGTGTGGAGGGGGTGTGGAGGAGCGTGTGGAGGAGGTGTGGAGGAGCGTGTGGAGGGGGTGTGCAGGAGGTGTGGAGGAGCGAGTGGAGGAGCAAGTGGAGGAGGTGGGGAGGGGGTGTGGAGGAGCGTGTGGAGGGGGTGTAGAGGAGCATGTGGAGGAGGTGTGGAGGAGGTGTGGAGGAGGTGTGGAGGAGCGTGTGGAGGAGCGTGTGGAGGAGCGTGTGGAGGAGGTGTGGAGGAGGTGTGGAGGAGGTGTGGAGGAGCGAGTGGAGGAGGTGTGAAGGAGCGTGTGGAGGAGGTGTGGAGGAGCGAGTGGAGGAGGTGTGGAGGAGCGTGTGGAGGGGGTGTGGAGGAGCGTGTGGAGGAGGTGTGGAGGAGCGAGCGGAGGAGGTGTGAAGGAGCGTGTGGAGGGGGTGTAGAGGAGCGTGTGGAGGAGCGTGGGGAGGAGGTGTGGAGGAGGTGTAGAGGAGCGTGTGGAGGGGGTGTGCAGGAGGTGTGGAGGAGCGTGTGGAGGAGCGTGTGGAGGAGTGAGTGGAGGAGGTGTGGAGGAGCGTGTGGAGGAGCGTGTGGAGGAGTGAGTGGAGGAGGTATGGAGGAGCGTGTGGAGGAGCGTGTGGAGGAGCGTGTGGAGGAGTGAGTGGAGGAGGTATGGAGGAGCGTGTGGAGGTGTGGAGGAGCGAGTGGAGGAGGTGTGGAGGAGCGTGTGGAGGAGCGTGTGGAGGAGTGAGTGGAGGAGGTATGGAGGAGCGTGTGGAGGAGCGTGTGGAGGAGCGTGTGGAGGAGTGAGTGGAGGAGGTAGGAGGAGCGTGTGGAGGTGTGGAGGAGCGAGTGGAGGAGGTGTGGAGGACGTGTGGAGGAGGTGTGGAGGAGGTGTGGAGGACGTGTGGAGGAGCGTGTGGAGGAGCGTGTGGAGGAGCGTGTGGAGGAGCGTGTGGAGGTGTGGAGGAGCGTGTGGAGGTGTGGAGGGGGTGTGGAGGAGCGTGTGGAGGGGCATGTGGAGGAGGTGTGGAGGAGCGTGTGGAGGAGCGTGTGGAGGAGCGTGTGGAGGAGCGTGTGGAGGAGCGTGTGGAGGAGCGTGTGGAGGAGGTGTGGAGGAGCGTGTGGAGGAGCGTGTGGAGGAGGTGTGGAAGAGCGTGTGGAGGAGGTGTGGAGGAGCGTGTGGAGGAGGTGTGGAGGAGCGTGTGGAGGAGGTGTGGAGGAGCGTGTGGAGGAGGTGTCGAGGAAGTGTGGAGGAGGTGTGGAGGTGCGTGTGGAGGAGGTGTAGAGGAGTGAGTGGAGGAGGTGTGCAGGAGGTGTGGAGGAGCGTGTGGAGGAGGTGTCGAGGAGGTGTGGAGGAGCGTGTGGAGGAGGTGTCGAGGAGGTGTGGAGGAGGTGTGGAGGTGCGTGTGGAGGAGGTGTGGAGGAGCGTGTGGAGGAGGTGTGGAGGAGCGTGTGGAGGAGGTGTCGAGGAGGTGTGGAGGAGGTGTGGAGGTGCGTGTGGAGGAGGTGTGGAGGAGCGTGTGGAGGAGGTGTGCAGGAGGTGTGGAGGAGCAAGTGGAGGAGGTGTGGAGGAGCGTGGGGAGGGGGTGTGGAGGAGGTGTGGAGGTGCGTGTGGAGGAGCGTGTGGAGGAGGTGTGCAGGAGGTGTGGAGGAGCGTGTGGAGGAGGTGTGCAGGAGGTGTGGAGGAGCGTGTGGAGGAGGTGTGCAGGAGGTGTGGAGGAGCGTGTGGAGGAGCGTGGGGAGGGGGTGTGGAGGAGGTGTGGAGGAGCGTGTGGAGGAGCGTGTGGAGGAGGTGTGGAGAGCGTGTGGAGAGCGTGTGGAGGAGGTGTCGAGGAGCGGTCATATGTAACACAGTATGTACCATATGTAACCTACAGTATGTACCATATGTAACACAGTATGTACCATATGTAACATACAGTATGTACAATATGTAACACAGTATGTACCATATGTAACACAGTATGTACCATATGTAACACAGTATGTACCATATGTAACATACTGTGTTACATATGGTACATACTGTATGTACCATATGTAACACAGTATGTACCATATGTAACATACAGTATGTACCATATGTAACACAGTATGTACCATATGTAACATACAGTATGTACCATATGTAACATACAGTATGTACCATATGTAACATACAGTATGTACCATATGTAACACACAGTATGTACCATATGTAACACACAGTATGTACCATATGTAACACACAGTATGTACCATATGTAACATACAGTATGTACCATATGTAACATACAGTATGTACCATATGTAACATACAGTATGTACCATATGTAACACAGTATGTACCATATGTAACACAGTATGTACCATATGTAACATACAGTATGTACCATATGTAACATACAGTATGTACCATATGTAACATACAGTATGTACAATATGTAACACAGTATGTACCATATGTAACATACAGTATGTACCATATGTAACATACAGTATGTACCATATGTAACATACAGTATGTACAATATGTAACACAGTATGTACCATATGTAACACAGTATGTACCATATGTAACATACAGTATGTACCATATGTAACACAGTATGTACCATATGTAACACAGTATGTACCATATGTAACATACAGTATGTACCATATGTAACATACAGTATGTACCATATGTAACATACAGTATGTACCATATGTAACATACAGTATGTACCATATGTAACACAGTATGTACCATATGTAACACAGTATGTACCATATGTAACATACAGTATGTACCATATGTAACACAGTATGTACCATATGTAACATACAGTATGTACCATATGTAACACAGTATGTACCATATGTAACAGTATGTACCATATGTAACATACAGTATGTACCATATGTAACACAGTATGTACCATATGTAACACAGTATGTACCATATGTAACACAGTATGTACCATATGTAACACAGTATGTACCATATGTAACATACAGTATGTACAATATGTAACACAGTATGTACCATATGTAACACAGTATGTACCATATGTAACACAGTATGTACCATATGTAACATACAGTATGTACCATATGTAACACAGTATGTACCATATGTAACACAGTATGTACCATATGTAACACAGTATGTACCATATGTAACACAGTATGTACCATATGTAACATACAGTATGTACCATATGTAACATACAGTATGTACCATATGTAACATACAGTATGTACCATATGTAACACAGTATGTACCATATGTAACATACAGTATGTACCATATGTAACACAGTATGTACCATATGTAACATACAGTATGTACCATATGTAACACAGTATGTACCATATGTAACACAGTATGTACCATATGTAACATCTGCACAGATGCACAAACACAATTCCATCCAACACAACAGCAGCAGAGATCACCACTGTCCATACATGTTTATAAAAGTCCATCGATGTTTATAAAAGTCCATACATGTTTATAAATGTCCATACATGTTTATAAAAGTCCATACATGTTTATAAAAGTCCATACATGTTTATAAATGTCCATACATGTTTATAAAAGTCCATACATGTTTATAAAAGTCCATACATGTTTATAAATGTCCATACATGTTTATAAATGTCCATACATGTTTATAAATGTCCATACATGTTTATAAAAGTCCATAAAAGTCCCAGATTGTCATTGTCCATAGTCCCACCTACAGGAACAGCCAAAATTAACTTTAAAAAATAGGTGTCAAATATGTAGAAAGATAGATAAATAGATAGACAGACAGATGGATAGATAGATGAATGGATAGACAGATAGACAGACAGACAGATGGATAGACAGATAGACAGATGGATAGACAGACAGATAGATGGATAGACAGACAGATAGATGGATAGACAGACAGATAGATGGATAGACAGACAGATAGATGGATAGACAGACAGATAGATGGATAGACAGACAGATAGATGGATAGACAGACAGATAGATGGATAGACAGACAGATAGACAGACAGATAGATGGATAGACAGACAGACAGATGGATAGTTTGATCCTGTGGCTAATGAGGAGGTTAAGTAAGTAAGTAAGTAAGTAAGTAATTTATATACCGCCTTTTCACTGCACATCGGAGTCTCAAAGCGGTTTACAATTGTTATTTTTGGGAGCGGGGCCAGTACAGGAGGCACATGCCAGACCTATTGTACATATTTTTAGTGGTAGGGGAAACCGGAGCACCCGGAGGAAACCTACGCAGACACGGGGAGAACATGCAAACTCCACTCAGAAAGGCCCTGGTCCAACCGGGATTCGAACCCAGGACCTTCTTGCTGAGAGGCGAGAGTGCTATCCACTCAGCCACCGTGCCGCCCAGTTAAGTGCACTGTCATTGATTAACCCACTTCTCTGGCTGCATCGCTAACTCTGAGCTGGACCAAACACAACTAAAGGACAACAGACTGCGGCCAACAGTAATTACAAAGCTTTTAACAGCCTTTAAGCTGTGTTAATTACACCGTGTTGAATGAAGTCATTGATCCAACGAAGGCAGCAGTTGCAGCTCTGTATAAAAAGCACCAACAAGAGATCATTAACTGTATATAGACAATGCTAACCTGCGAGCTAGCCCAACGACACACACTCCTAATATACCCTCTATGCACAGGACCAGGTCAGAGCATTTGGACAAATAGGGCAGGGGGAGGAGATGGTTCAGATTCAGATTCTATTACTAATGCTTTAGAATGTGGAATAATATCTTGAGTAGAAATGATATGGTGAATATGAAGGGAAACTAATGCGATCGGGCCTGCCCTACCACGATTCTACCACTAGAGCCAGAACTACTTCACCTGAGAAATTACCATAACTAGATTATGGGCAATACTTTGGTTTTAAAAGTCCCCAAACCCTAACCCTTTTAAAAACCATAACCCTAACACTAACCCTAACTGCTTTGAGTGTGATGTCACAGCGGTGCAATGACATCATACTATTACAGGAGCTTTCAGACAGAAGGGGCGGAGCTACAGATTTGAGCCAGAAGTTCCTGATATGTGTGAGGATGGATGGAAAAGCCACTTCAGGTCTGCGGCTGATGAGAATGTTGTGACTTGGTTGAAAGAGAAGGATAAAGTCAATATTGCATCATCATACGTGTCCTTTAAAGTGAATGTGATAAAAACTGGAGCAGACAGACTGAGCCTTACATAACCCTTGTGGCCGCGCCCCTCCCCCATCAGGCCGCAGGATTACCACCGCTCACTCAGGAGCACAGCCATACAGCATTATAGTAATATTATCATCACATTCAGTCTGTGAGAAGGGACACATACTGTGCCAGCTCAGCACCCGTAGCCCCCTCGCTGCTAACACTGACCAACACGCATCAAAATAAAGGTTAAATATATTCTTTTACTGTGTGCATCAAAATGTCCATCTCTTCAACACACTCCAAACCTCTGCCTGTCCAATAGTGGTCTGTTCCTCCCTGCTCTGTGATTGGTCCCCAAATCCATGAGAACATTTTGGCCAAAGATTCCGGATATATCGAGCTCAAAGGGCAGTGGATTTCAGGATAGTTTGGTATATTTTTTTTGAGTTGTTTTACTTGGATTGAAACAGAACTAGACCAAAAGGTAAATTTGAGAATTGTCAATCAACTTATGGATTTTTTCTTTTGTCTTTTGTAATTGTTGTTTGTAGCAACAACAAAAAAAGAATGAGCATAGACTTTGCCATATTTCTAAATCCAACAGTTGGGAAGACGTTTGGGATGATTGCCAAGATTTAAGAAAATTGGCCTTGATCTCTAATGAGCAAAAAAATAATAATAATACTATTATCGGACTGTACGGCCTTATCCAAAACATTTATACAACAATTCTTGAGTACAAAAACTGTAAAAACAGAGACACAATGCGTTACTCTGTCCTCTGTTACCATGGTAGCACACGCTGACAGCACCAGCATCCTCCACAGACAGTTCTGAGTCTGTGGGTCTGAGGAAGTCTGAGTCTGTGGGTCTGAGGAAGTCTGGGTCTGTGGGTCTGAGTCTGTGGGTCTGAGGGAGTGAGGAGGTCTGAGTCTGTGGGTCTGAGGGAGTGAGGAGGTCTGAGTCTGTGGGTCTGAGTCTGTGGGTCTGAGTCTGTGGGAGTGAGGAGGTCTGAGTCTGTGGGTCTGAGGGAGTGAGGAGGTCTGAGTCTGTGGGTCTGAGTCTGTGGGTCTGTGGGAGTGAGGAGGTCTGAGTCTGTGGGTCTGTGGGAGTGAGGCGGTCTGAGTCTGTGGGTCTGAGTCTGTGGGTCTGTGGGAGTGAGGAGGTCTGAGTCTGTGGGTCTGTGGGAGTGAGGAGGTCTGAGTCTGTGGGTCTGAGGGAGTGAGGAGGTCTGAGTCTGTGGGTCTGAGTCTGTGGGTCTGAGGGAGTGAGGAGGTCTGAGTCTGTGGGTCTGAGTCTGTGGGTCTGAGTCTGTGGGTCTGAGTCTGTGGGTCTGAGTCTGTGGGTCTGAGTCTGTGGGTCTGAGTCTGTGGGTCTGTGGGAGTGAGGAGGTCTGAGTCTGTGGGTCTGAGTCTGTGGGTCTGAGGGAGTGAGGAGGTCTGAGTCTGTGGGTCTGAGGGAGTGAGGAGGTCTGAGTCTGTGGGTCTGAGTCTGTGGGTCTGAGTCTGTGGGTCTGAGTCTGTGAGTCTGTGGGAGTGAGGAGGTCTGAGTCTGTGGGTCTGTGGGAGTGAGGAGGTCTGAGTCTGTGGGTCTGAGGGAGTGAGGAGGTCTGAGTCTGTGGGTCTGTGGGAGTGAGGAGGTCTGAGTCTGTGGGTCTGAGTCTGTGGGTCTGTGGGAGTGAGGAGGTCTGAGTCTGTGGGTCTGAGTCTGTGGGTCTGAGGGAGTGAGGAGGTCTGAGTCTGTGGGTCTGAGTCTGTGGGTCTGAGGGATTGAGGAGGTCTGAGTCTGTGGGTCTGAGGGAGTGAGGAGGTCTGAGTCTGTGGGTCTGAGTCTGTGGGTCTGAGGGAGTGAGGAGGTCTGAGTCTGTGGGTCTGAGTCTGTGGGTCTGAGTCTGTGGGTCTGAGGGAGTGAGGAGGTCTGAGTCTGTGGGTCTGAGTGAGTGTGGAGGTCTGAGTCTGTGGGTCTGAGTCTGTGGGTCTGAGTCTGTGGGAGTGAGGAGGTCTGAGTCTGTGGGTCTGAGGGAGTGAGGAGGTCTGAGTCTGTGGGTCTGAGGGAGTGAGGAGGTCTGAGTCTGTGGGTCTGAGGGAGTGAGGAGGTCTGAGTCTGTGGGTCTGAGGGAGTGAGGAGGTCTGAGTCTGTGGGTCTGAGTCTGTGGGAGTGAGGAGGTCTGAGTCTGTGGGTCTGTGGGAGTGAGGAGGTCTGAGTCTGTGGGTCTGAGTCTGTGGGTCTGAGGGAGTGAGGAGGTCTGAGTCTGTGGGTCTGAGTCTGTGGGTCTGAGGGAGTGAGGAGGTCTGAGTCTGTGGGTCTGAGGGAGTGAGGAGGTCTGAGTCTGTGGGTCTAAGCGAGTGAGGAGGTCTGAGTCTGTGGGTCTGAGTCTGTGGGTCTGAGTCTGTGGGTCTGAGTCTGTGGGTCTGAGTCTGTGGGTCTGAGTCTGTGGGTCTGAGTCTGTGGGTCTGAGTCTGTGGGTCTGAGTCTGTGGGTCTGAGTCTGTGGGTCTGTGGGAGTGAGGACCCTAACTCTAACTTATGTCTAACTCTTCAGATCAACTTGGGGACAAAGTAATGACCAGGTTGTCTTTAACAGCCTTAGTTTTTACATTTACTGTATGTATTTATTTGACTGTTAATGTTAAAAAGAGTTTGGTAATAACAGACGTAAAACATCTTTGTCCAGTCCTCATTTAACTTACGTTGGAACTTTCCCACAAACCAAATCTCAAATGAATGAGACCATCCTACACACGATCACGCGGACAAACAATGGACGCGTTTGTCTCTGTATGAATTGACAAAAGCTCTCTCCCTGATGCTGCACCATCGTCAGCTCAATGAGAATCCAGGTTACAGGAATAATAATAATAATAATAATGATAATAATAATAATAATAATAATAGGTTTTATTCAGCGCTTTTCGGGACACTCAAAGACGATTCACATGTCATTCTCTCACAGCTGCCCTGGGGCACACTGACAGGAGCGAGGCTACCAGTCTGTGCCATCAGCCCCTCCCACCCCCACCAACCATTCACAGACACACCAGACTCATTCTAATGTGGGGGAAGTGTCTTGCCTAAGGACACAACCACAGTTTGGCACTTTACAGCCACAGCCGCCCCACTGTAGTACCTGATGTTCCCAGAGGTCTCCCATCACGCACTAACCAGGCCCTGGTAGACACCTGTAGACACACCTGTACACACACCTGTATACACACCTGTAAGACGACTGCTTCCTTAAGTTGAGATGGATGAAATCTGCCTCGGTTTGGGACAGGGCCATCGCAGCTGTGTCCGGGGCCGTCGCGGCTGTGTCCGGGGCCGTCGCGGCTGTGTCCGGGGCCGTCGCGGCTGTGTCTGGGGCCGTCGCGGCTGTGTCCGGGGCCGTCGTGGCTGTGTCCAGGTCCTTGGTCTTCCATGGTGTACTCGTCTGAAATGCAAATAAACACATAAAAACATGATTCAGATCAACAAGGTGTTTTTCCACAATAAAAGTTGCATTGTTTGTACATTTATTGTTTTCTAATCTAACATCTACTTCACTGTGAACAAGTTACAAACCAGACCTTATCCATCCCTCCATTTTCTTCCCCTTCATCCATTTCTGGGTCAGGGGGGTGGCAGTCAGAGCAGTCCACTTAGCACCAGCCCCTCACTGATCCTCCTGCAGGTGCTCAGTTCACAGGAGCTGAGATCTTTCAGTGGGGGCTTCAGGCAAAGTGGGGTTAAGTGTCTTGCCCAAGGACACAACGACAGCGTATTTATTAATTATATATTAAGCATTAGATATTTTTAAACATCTCTAAATACTATTTATTTGTTTTATTTAAATAATTATTGTTTGACCAACTTGTATTTTATGTTCATTTTTTGGGGGACATAAAAAGCAGGTGGATTTAAGCTGAAATGTTACATTGCGCAAGTTTTGTAAAGTGAATTAATATATTATTTTGCAGCTGTAAACACTTTCCAAAGATTTAGTTTTGATCAACAATATCATGCGCTAAAGTTGGGGTACCTAACTTTCAAACCACCAACCGATTACCCCTGTCATAAAATAAATCTCACACATTTCTGGCTCAAAAACAGTTTTCAGACACATGTGTTTTCGGCCCCTGGTCTGGTCTGGTCTGGTCTGGTCTGGTCTGATTTGTTGACAGCACTAAGACTAATGGTACAATCATGTATTATTAATTAAAACAGTGAAGAACTCCATCTATAAAAGCAGTATTATAATGAAAGTGGAACTCATACTAATAGATTAGGCATTTGTTGAGTAATGCATTGGTATGGATCCATTCTAAGTCGTGACTGTTTGCTAATGGAATGTGAAAGACATACAAGGCTTTTCCCTCCTGGTTTGTTTACTGCTTCCTGCACATTGAAAGTAGCCATGTTTTCTGCCTGTGTAACATTTACAATCTGTGATTAAATACATACTTTCTGCAACTAATCAAAGTATTCAAAAGGGCGTCTATTGCACTAGGACTTTAAATCCAAACCTTGACTATAATACTAATATAATAATGATAAACTATTTCTCTGCACAGTTGTCCTCTAGGCGCGCACAGGTGGCTGGTAAAGCTGAGCCCACCTGACTGCAGCTTCTTCCGGGCTCCGTGGAGGTGCTCTCGCCGGTCAGAGTGTCCTCCTCTTCGGCCACGTCCTCCAGCCCCAGCCGCTCCAGAGCCGGTGGTTCGCGGTCTCTGGTCATCGTCCCTGGAGCCGCTCTGGACCCGGTACCGGTTCGCTCAGAGGGGTCCGGGGGCAGGATCATCCATGACACACTGGGCTGGAGGAGGCAGGGGTCAGCGGGGTTTGCTGTAAGGTCCCCCCGCAGGCAATGGGGGTGGGCTCAGGCATACGTGGGGGGTCAAGGGGAGCACATGGAGTCAGACTGTGCAGAGGTGAGGGCTGCGTTTGGATCGTGTTCAGGGAGAAAAATGTGTCGCGGGAAATAATCAAGAGTTCTCTTTCTGGGCCCGCCCCCTTCCACTCTGCCTGATGTAGTACCGCAGGGCACCGCGAGAGGGCGACAGACACGTGCACACCATGGAGCTAGAATTATACTATGGTAGACACACATACATTTACAATCTACGATACACACACACATATATACATACATACAGACACACATACATTTACAACCTACAACACACACACACACACACATATATACATGCATACAGACACACACATTTACAATCTACGATACACACACACACACAAATATATACATTCATACAGACACAAATACATTTACAATCTACGATACACACACACACACATACATACATACAGACACACACACACATGCACAGTCTCACACAAATAAAAACATACACACGCACACACTGAAGGATTGTATTTTCACTATTTTCATTTAGGATTGAAATGACTTGTATGATATTAATGAATGTTCTCGTTTTGATCAGCACTTTGAGTTTCCTTGTATTTCAAGTGATAAAAGTATACAAATACACCTGCCAAACTTAATATACCGCAGGAAAAAGTAAATATTAATCAAGCATCCACAGACTGATCGGGTTGGATGCAACAACAGGTATAATCCATTAGACCACTAGAATATGCCAGTATTGCGGCGTATTGCACAGTCCCATCAGTGCAACGATACAATACAATACACAGTTAAAAGACCACAGTTAAAAACAGTTTTTAGAGCGGTGCAGATTTTACATGTTGAGGGTCAAAATAACTAAAATTGATCATAACAAACAGGATATTGTGTCCTCAGCGGCCCACCCTATGGATACTGATAATATCCAATCAATTGTAGTCACGTTTTGACCCTAAAGTACATACATTGTCCGTCAATAGCACATAATCAATAATATACAGTGAGCAGGACAAAGCCGTGTCCGCTTGACCTCTGGTGTGTGTCTGGCTCCCTAACCCCTCAGAGCGCTGACTGTGCTGAACCAGGGCCAGGACTATAACCCCGGTCCCCCATGGCTCACATCCGGTCCCCAGTCTGGTCCACAGCGCAGGGGAGGGGATCAGATCCTGACTGACGGGTCAAAGCCCACGGGGGGCAGGGCCGGGTGCCAGAGGAGCGCACACCTTTAGCAGTAGATTCATAATGTGTTTTTATATAGTGTGTGATTGTTGAAGAAATACGACAGGCCTTAAGATGTAAATATTCAATTCAAAGTATTCTTGTGTGGCACTAAATCACAACAGTAGTTATCTCAGAGGACTTTACAAAACAGTTGAATTCGCCAACACAGATCTGAGAAATGCATTGATAAAAACACATTGGTTCATAAGGAGCAGAGACCAATGTCCATAAATGTAGATTAAATAAACAGTTAGGCGCCCCAAACTAAACTGAAGTAACAAATATTTGGTTTAAGAAAAAATATTGCTCATTATTTTTGACTATTTACTATGTAATTTTATGTTTTAAAATTGAAAATATTGTCTTCAGTGGGAAATTTATGGTGAGACAAGTATCAAGGGTAAATAATGGTATTGGACTGTAATTCCCTATGCTACCACCAGAGGCAGGCTGCTAACCACCACATACTTTCTCAATATTATTAGAAAACAGTAAATATTTAGCAGAAAAGGCCCTGTGCTGAGGGTGGTCCTCTCTTTGCCACCTTTTTGTCTGAAAAAGCTGATACAAAAACACATGTAAATAAAAACTGTTTTGAGAGTGAAGGACTAGTTACATCAATTGTATTAGTTACATTCTTTGTGGTTTGAAAGTTAAGTACCCCAGCTTTATACGTCTGAATGATTTCCCATGATGTGTTGCCCTGATCCAGCACTCGCAAAACAGCTCCCAATCTCTAAGTGAGAGCCTTGTGTGTGATTGTGCCCTAGTTCCTGTCTGAGATCCCCAGCTTGTGGTCCTGGGGCGGTTTGTTTTGGCAGGTCTGGCTGTCTGTCTGGTGCGCTGGAGGTTGGCATTGGCATCCCATTGACACCCCCAGAGCTGGGATTGTGCTGACGGGACAGAGCCTGGAGATAATACCATTCCAGAGCGATCGCCGTGTCACCCCTCAGGTATAAAAGCCGATGTAAGAGGGGGGCAGTGGTCTCAGCCGCTGATTGTCCATCGGTTTTCACTTAGCGTTGGTTCAAGCGGCCTCAGAATGGACATCTCCATACAGCACCCGTGGTTCAGGCGTGGACTGGGGTCGGCGTACCCGGCCCGGCTCTTTGACCAGTTCTTCGGAGAGGGGTTGTTCGACCACGACGTGTTCCCGTACGCGGCCCCCACCGTGAGCCCCTACTACAGGCAGGGGCTGTTCCGCAACTACTGGGACTTCAACAACTCCGGAGTGTCCGAGGTAACGCAAAGAATACATGCAAGAAACTAAGTGTGTGTATGAGAGTGTGTGTCTGCGTATGTGTATGAGAGTGTGTGTACGTATGTGTGCATATGTGTGTGTACGTATGTGTGTCTGCATATGTGTATGAGAGTGTGTGTACGTATGTGTGCATATGTGTGTGTGCATATGTGTGTGTACGTATGTGTGTATGTGTGTCTGCGTATGTGTATGAGAGTGTGTGTATGTGTGTCTGCGTATGTGTATGAGAGTGTGTGTCTGCGTATGTGTATGAGAGTGTGTGTATGTGTGTCTGCGTATGTGTATGAGAGTGTGTGTGCGTATGTGTATGAGAGTGTGTGTATGTGTGTCTGTGTATGAGAGTGTGTGTCTGCGTATGTGTATGAGAGTCTGTGTATGTGTATGAGTGTGTGTATGTGTGTCTGCCTACGTGTATGAGAGTGTGTGTCTGCGTATGTGTATGAGAGTGTGTGTATGTGTGTCTGCGTATGTGTATGAGAGTGTGTGTGCGTATGTGTATGAGAGTGTGTGTCTGCGTATGTGTATGAGAGTGTGTGTCTGCGTATGTGTATGAGAGTGTGTGTATGTGTGTCTGCGTATGTGTATGAGAGTGTGTCTGCGTATGTGTATGAGAGTGTGTGTATGTGTGTCTGCGTATGTGTAAGAGAGTGTGTGGATGTATGTCTGCGTATGTGTATGAGAGTGTGTGTATGTGTGTCTGTGTATGTGTGTCTGCGTATGTGTATGAGAGTGTGTGTCTGTATGTCTGCGTATGTGTATGAGTGTGTGTCTGCGTATGTGTATGAGAGTGTGTGTATGTATGTCTGCGTATGTGTATGAGAGTGTGTGTATGTGTGTCTGTGTATGTGTGTCTGCGTATGTGTATGAGAGTGTGTGTCTACGTATGTGTATGAGAGTGTGTGTATGTGTGCAGGCCTGTGTGTGCGTCAGTGCATGGGTTTGGTGAGGATTTGTTCATTTTAATAAATCCAGTAAATCATGGTTTTTGCCGATAATCACGTTTTCTGGTTCAAACTGAACAATGCATTACACTAAAATAGAGACACATTTTTTAGAAATGTTAAACAGTTAAACGTTAAACAGACAAATCTTGGAAAACTTAACCTTCATAAGAGATAGACAACTGCAGAAATCAGAAACAGAAATTATTAAAAGAAAATAATAATATAATGCGAACACAACAAAACTATCTTTCTCTCAAAGACCCAGACCGTCGATGTTGTGTTCATGTTCTCAACCGTGAGCAAAAACGGTCCTGTTTTGTGGCATAATATATGTTAGAATGACCGTGTTGTGGTTCCAGCTGTGGTCTGACCGGGACAAGTTCACGGTTTACCTGGACGTGAAGCACTTCTCTCCGGACGAGCTGAGCGTGAGAGTGAGCGACGACTACGTGGAGATCCAGGGCAAGCACGAGGAGAGACAGGTCCGAGGCTGCCATCTCCGCTTGCGGCTTTAACACATGCAAACACATGCAAGTTTTGGCAAGACACAGAAAATTACTTTATGCACAGAACAGTAAGAAATTAAGACCCTAAGCCCAAAGCATCATATACTCAAGTATCAAGTATGAAAAAGATTTTATTCAAAAGAGGCCGCATGTTCTTATCGGATTATTATGAGAGAAAAGAAAAATACACGCTTTAGTTTTACCCGACTGATGAAGCGTTGCTCTAGTAAACTCCAGACCACTGTTATAGACATCTGTGTTATGGTAAAGATAATGCTTTATTCTGGATTAAGAACAAAGTGATTAAGATCATTTTAATCACGCTACACTAGTCTTTCATCATCGTCTTGCTGTCCCCTCCCGTTCTCTGATTGGTTCACAAATCCATGCCAACATTCAACCCAAGTCTCCAGGCTGTCGTACAGTTCAGGAGAATGTTGTTCTCTTGATTCACAGTTTTTAAGATTTATTAATTATTTTTATTGAAGAGGATCACAGAAGTCTAACCGCCCTCTAACGTGTGCTGATGTCATAGATCAGCTGGAGGGAGGGAACTTCACTGATGATGTCATAGATCAGCTGGAGGGAGGGAACTTCACTGATGATGTCATAGATCAGCTGGAGGGAGGGAACTTCACTGGTGATGTCATAGATCAGCTGGAGGGAGGGAACTTCACTGGTGATGTCATAGATCAGCAGGGAACTTCACAGATGATGTCATAGATCAGCTGGGAACTTCACTGATGATGTCATAGATCAGCTGGGAACTTCACAGATTATGTCATAGATCAGCTGGAGGGAGGGAACTTCACTGATGATGTCATAGATCAGCTGGAGGGAGGGAACTTCACTGATAATGTCATAGATCAGCTGGAGGGAGGGAACTTCACTGATGATGTCATAGATCAGCTGGAGGGAGGGAACTTCACTGGTGATGTCATAGATCAGCTGGGAACTTCACTGATGATGTCATAGATCAGCTGGGAACTTCACAGATGATGTCATAGATCAGCTGGAGGGAGGGAACTTTACTGATGATGTCATAGATCAGCTAGAGCGAGGGAACTTCATTGATGATGTCATAGATCAGCTGGAGGGAGGGAACTTCAGCTACAATGATGTCGCCTCTAGATTTAGTATCTGTCCTTCACTGAGAGCGCAGCTTTAAAACTGTAGTAAATAGTACATTTGACTTTGAAAATGAAAAATAGCAATAATATAAGATTCTTTATGAGATGTTTCTGTTAAAGACTGAAAAGGACTCATCCATCTTTGTGTTTCTTAAAGGACAAAGGAATGTGGAACACATGATATTTGCAAAAGTATAGTGTATAAAGTTTCTACTTTCATTCAAACAAGTGTTCAAAAAGAAAATAAATACAACAGGACAGACAGGAAGTAAAACTCAAACTCTATCATATTCTGCTCTTAAAGAATGAACATGAATATTTCTGACATTGAAATAAAAACAGTACCTCTTTTCCCTCGGCAGGACGACCACGGCTACGTCTCCCGCCAGTTCCACCGCCGCTACCGCCTCCCCTCCAGCGTGAACCAGGCGGCCATCAGCTGCACACTGTCGGCCAGCGGCATGCTCACCGTCAGCGGGCCCAAGGTCGGCGGGGGCGGCGAGGGCGGGCGTGGCGAGCGCAGCATCCCCGTCACCCACGACGACAAGACCAACGCGGCAGCTTCCTCCTAAACACCTTCTCAGACGCTCCCGGACGGCTGCCACGACGCCATCTTTCTCTCTCCTTTCTTCTATCTATGTTTCCATGATCTACTCTTGGACAGTGAGGCCACAGGACTTTAGAAGCTAAAGTTAGGGATTAGTTCATGTGAAATGTGTGCTCTAAATAACTAGGCCCTCACTAATTGTTCTGTAACTATAATCATAGCCTTGTCCTGTTCATAACACAAGCCACTTTGACTTTGAAATCTGCAAATTCAAATAAATTCACTTATTAAAAATGTGTACGTTTACTAACATTTTATTATGGACCTGAGTTAAAACACAAACTGTTACTTTAGAAGAAGAAGGAAAACCAAACTCAGTTCTATGACGGAATTGTCTCTTGATCAAACCTTGTAAACTGAACCGGAGAGAGGGGGAGAGTAAGTAATCTTTGTTTAGAGGGAGAGAGGAGGCCATTCAGAGTTTGGAGACTTTAGACTTTTGATTCTGAAATAGAAAACAATATCATTAGTGAGAAAAGAGGTGTGGATTAAGAGAAAGTAGCAAAGGTGCATGACAACACAATACTGGTATAATAGTAACTTTAGTAACAGAGTAATAACAGGAGAAGTACTGCCGCAGGTAAACAGGAAGGACACTTAGAATATCGTTCAAAAGTCTATTTACTTTAACAACCTGCAATTACCCAAAGTGAGATATATCTATCCAACCAGTGGCTCGGGAGATACCAGTAGCTCACCAGCCCCTTTTAGTTAGCTCCCCAAAGGATTTAGAATTTTCGAGTCATCATAGATCTATTAAAAGTATAAATATAGAGTTTTACATTATTATTATTATGGTATATTAATGTGTTCTCTATGTTTTGTCGTAATCATTAGATATTACACAGACTAGCTCTTGGATTGAAAAAGGTTGGAGACCTCTGCTCTAAAGGGACGGTGTGTGCCAGGTCAGCAGTCTGGAGTAGATACATGTTTGTTTACTGCTGTCTATTTAACGTACCGTTCTCTGGGCAGACGCTCACACTGTCAGGTTTGTGCATATTTACGAACTTCATAATTCCCTGACCTTCATTGAACCAGGACAGTCATATTCTTTGCAGAACTAACCCTAACCCTGTCCCTAAAGAGAGGCAGTGGGAGTGGGGTCGGGGAGGGGGATATGAGGGACCACTGAACATGTTTTAGTAGCTGAAGAATATTTTGTGAATTTTAAAAATGATTTTAAAAAACCTAGAGAGAATAACTGACTTAACGACTTCTTTCATTGTTTCTGTCTGATAATTAAGATTAAGAGAAGAATGTATGTAATGTACGGTCATGTTTCCATCTACTTCTGTAAATACTGTTTTACTACAACCTGCTCTGGGGCTACAGGTGTTTATTAGTACTCCTGCTACAACCTGCTACAATACAGTATGTATACATGTATGTATGAATGTATCTATCGTATGTATGTATGAATGTATCTATCGTATGTATGTATGTATCTATCTATCTGTCCCTGGACTTTGCATGGCTCAAGGACAGTGGTGATGATCCGGGACACCCGACACTCAACCACATGTAAGGACAGTGGTCTCTGCCTCTTCTGGACCTTATGTCTGACGTGTTTTTATCGTTGCATTTCCTGTGTTCGAACTGTTTGATTCTCTGATCTGTGTTGGAGAATTGTAAAGTCCTCCGAGAAATCTACTGTTCTATCTATACAAGAATGAATTGATTGTTTATTGTGCACTGTGAAAATCCCCTGAACACTACATCTTAAACTTCTCACTACGCACAATCTCCACTTTGATGTGTGTATTCCCCAAACACAAAGATGAGTGGCACCTTGTACGCCGCCTGCAGGTCGTCCAGAGTCTGCTGCGCCGCCTCCCTCACACACGGCTGTGCACTGGACGCCAGCTTCTGCACTTGGGCCTCCAGCTCCGGGTCCTGCACGGCGGGCCCCAGCACCAGCAGAGCCTCGTCCTCCAGGACCAGAGACTGCAGCAGGCGCAAGGAGTGCAGGGAAACCTCCCAGTCCCGGTCTGAGCCACCAGGGGGCACAATACACAACACATAGTAGGCTTCAAATGCTGGTCTCTTCATACTTTTTAGTTTTTTCAATAGATAGATAGATAGATAAATGCTTTATTGTCAGATACAAGGATCCGAATTTTGTTTTGCAGTTCAGCAGCTCCGTAAAAATACAAACAAGACATACAGGTATAAGACAAGTCACAAAGACATTATAAACAATTGTCCGCTCGCCATAACACACTTTGATTTTATGACTTAAGATCCTCGTTTAGCTTCAGGATGGACTGATGGACAAAGGAGTTCCTCAACCTGACTTTAACCTGACAAGAAATGTTTTGAATTCACAATCTTGGCTATAACATTGTTTTCAACATTATAGTTCCACCATCATCATGTGCATTATGTGTTTTGATTTTGGCATTTGCTTTTAAATAATATGCTAATGTCATTATTCATTGGACTACTACAGGTGCTCGTGTGCGCTCACCCCCCAGCAGGTTCAGCGTGGCGGTCAGCAGCCCGGGGTTCTTGATCATGTACTTGAGTCCTTTTATAGTGATGCTCACGTTGTACAGAGCCATCAGCATCAGCCTGGACACAGCAAAGTCAAAACATACAGCTGTGTTTACACACACATTTACACATTTGGACATATTACAAACATCCTTAATGATAACCTTATGATGACCTTATTCCCCCTCGGAGCAAAAAACAAGTGTGTGTGTGTGTGTAAACTTTCAACTGTATTTCCAAACGGTAAATGACAGTTGACAAAATACAGTAAAGTCTATGTGAAATGACACGTACACTTTGAGTTTGGGGAACATTCCCGGCTTCATCCGCTCCAGCAGCCGTATCAGCGTGTCCAGCAGCATGTGGGCGGAGTTAGACAGGAAGTCCCGCCCATTGGTAACAGCAGCAATGTCTGGAAAATAGTGACATGTAAAGCTGTTTCGTGTTCCACAGTTTTATGGACACTCACTGGTGATGGTTCCAGCCAGCGCCAGCACAAATGTGTGTTCCTTTGAGTTGGGGTCTTCAGTCTGGACTTTGACGTCGTCGTCCAGAGAACAGACGAAACTCTCCAGGGTCTGAGCGGCGATGACCAAGAAGGACTGCAGCTTCCCGTGCTGAAGGGGGGCAGAAAATAGAATGACTTCCCTGAATTCCCTTTTCCAGGGCAATCCTGAGGCATTCCCAGCTCAAGGTGTCCTGGGCATCCACGAGGCGTCCGAAACGAGAGAGACCAGGGAGAGACCAGAGAGAGACCAGAGAGAGACCAGAGAGAGACCAGAGAGAGACCAGAGAGAAACCAGAGAGAGGCCAGAGAGAGACCAGAGAGAGACCAGAGAGAGACCAGAGAGAGACCAGAGAGAGACCAGAGAGAAACCAGAGAGAGGCCAGAGAGAGACCAGAGAGAGACCAGAGAGAGACCAGAGAGAAACCAGAGAGAGGCCAGAGAGAGACCAGAGAGAGACCAGAGAGAGACCAGAGAGAGGCCAGAGAGAGACCAGAGAGAGACCAGAGAGAGACCAGACAGAGACCAGAGAGAGGCCAAAGAGAGACCAGAGAGTGACCAGAGAGAGACCAGAGAGAGAGACCAGAGAGAGACCAGAGAGAGACCAGAGAGAGAGACAAGAGAGAGAACAGAGAGAGACCAGAGAGAGGCCAAAGAGAAACCAGAGAGAGACCAAAGAGAGGCCAAAGAGAGAGACCAGAGAGACCAAATACAGGCCAGAGAGAGACCAGAGACCAGAAAGAGACCAGAGAGACCAAATACAGGCCAAAGAGAGACCAGAGAGAGACCAGAGAGAGGCCAGAGAGAGGCCAGAGAGGCCAAAGAGAGACCAGAGAGAGACCAGAGAGAGACCAGATACAGGCCAAAGAGAGACCACAGAGAGAGCACTTTTGTAGAAAAATTGACAAATTATTGAGACCCGAAATATCTGGTCTAATCCACCAGTTATGTAACGATAAGTGGATACAGTAATGATGGCGACAGGCCGACTGTTCAGAGAGAGAGAGACTCACGTCGGACAGCCACAGTGTGATGATGTCCTCTTTGGCCGCACAGCTCCACAGCAGGCAGCAGGAGGCCGAGCCCAGACTGGAGCAGAAGTCTGCCAGCTGCTGAAGTTCTGTGCCGCTCTGCCACAGCTGCTCCCTCAACAGCAGCTTCTCCTGGACACACCACCAACAGGAGAAGGATCCTATTTACATGTATTCTGCCCATTATTACACAGGCACAATCATCACTATCCTGACCAGGGTTTGCTGATAGAAGCAGCGGTTAAAACCAAAGTCACTCAGCTAAGATAAATGTCATATCTGTGGAGTTCTACAGCCTCAGTCCTGGATCTACAGCCTCAGTCCTGGGTCTACAGCCTCAGTCCTGGGTCTACAGCCTCAGTCCTGGATCTACAGCCTCAGTCCTGGATCTACAGCCTCAGTCCTGGATCTACAGCCTCAGTCCTGGATCTACAGCCTCAGTCCTGGATCCCTCGCTCAGTGTAAAGACATCTTGTAGTGACCTCTCTCTCCTTCTGACACTCGGCCTGTGAAGCCTCCAGTCGGCTCTGGACGTGAGCAAAGTCCAGTCGTAGACGCTCCTGCTCCTGGAACATCTGCTCCTTCACCACAGACACTGGAACAAACACCACAGTGAGAATAACACTGTGTCTCTGACTGGGTGTGTGTGTGTGTCTGTGTGTGTGTGTGCGTGTGTGTGTGTGTGTGTCTGTGTCTGTGTGTGTGTGTGTGTCTCTGTATGTGTGTGTCTGTGTCTCTGTATGTGTGTGTGTGTGTGTGTGTTGTACTTGTCTGTGCGGCCTTGGCCTTGTTCAGCATCTCCATGAGGTCCCCGTTGAGTACCCTGGGCAGGAGGTCCCTGAGCTGCATGACTTCGGTGGTCAGTCTCTCCAGCTCACGCCTCTTCACTTTCACAAATCCATCCTTCAAGAACAACACAACGATACACTGGTGGTTTATAATGTACATATCACATGAAAAACATTATTATTAGATTATAACAGTATAATTAGATTTTTTATTTTCAATGTTCAGTGTTTGAAGACCCCAAATACACAACAGTGGCGCATTGTTCTGCCTGGCTTGGTATCATCTAAATGTTGTTGTTTTGCCTGTATATTATTCAATCTGACATTAAAACTTGCTGGCTGAGTGGTTAGCACTCTCGGTGTCCCTGAGTGGAGTTTGCATGTTCTCTCCATGCCCACATAAGTTTCCTCCATGTGCTCGGGTTTCCCTGAGGCAAGACTCAGTGGACACTTTGATCAAAAAGGCTCAGAGACACTAAACACTGACAACATTTCAACACTTATGAAGCAATCCATTATAATTAAGTAATGTCTTTTTATGCTAGCCCTGCAAGGTTAGCAGATTACATTTACACAAAGAGGAAATAACCCCAAACTAAAATAGGAAGGTTTACACAATTGCTTTAATGAATGTACTAAATTGAAAGTCATCCCATAAAAGAATATTCTAAAGTATTATGTTTATCCTCACCTTGTCAGCGCTGGAGACGGCTTTCCCGCCCAACATAATGAAGCCGCTGTAGTTCTGGTCTTAAAATAATGTATAAATGTGATTATAAATGTACACACGTGTTATTTCAAAGACCTGGATGATCAAAACACTCAAAATAATAGTTTAAACACTAACTTGACCACAAAGTCTGTAACGACCCAGAGCGTGAACGAAAGCTAACATGGTGTTATGGCTCTATCTGCTCCCCAGTTTAATTGATCCGTGCTGCTCAGTCATGTACACCATCCACAACAAGAGATTCAACTAAATATCATAACAAATAACAAATCCGTGTACATTTCCTACTATCAATCTCATTTATCGAATTGGATTTTAATACGTTGAAATAAATGAGAGATAAAACAGATGGAATAAAATGAAGTGAGGGATGCAGAACATGTCATAACACCAGGCCATACTTTTTGCTCCAGCGAATATAAGACATATTTTGTGTATATTTTCTGCAATTAATCTATGTATTGTATCCATCACCTAATTAATTTACCGTTATATTCTATTTTGGGAAAGATATTAATTTCTTTCAAAAGAATTTGGTATTTAACTACTTTCCTGCGCTGCAACATTATCTTATCTTTTCTTACCTCATTTTTTCTAAAGAAGTAGGTATTTAGTTAAATATATTTATTTTTATTTAGACTTTATCAAAGATTACGGGCACAGGATCCATAGCTATACTTAATCCAGATAAATCTCAATCTCTGAATTTAAATTTCTAAATGTGTTCATATCTTTTGCCATACCCACTTTTTTCTTGACAGATTAATCGACTGGTCTCTTTGTATGGAATCTATATTTATTAATGCATTGTTATCTATTCGAACCTCCCGACACCAGCTCCAGGTTTTGCTCCCCGGCTCCACCTCCGGCCCCCCGCAGATCCAGCCCGTGTTTTCCAGCACACCCCGGCGGAGAGAGGCTTTCATTGTGGCTCAAACTAGTCCCATCACTCGCTGAGCTGTGGATGCTTCTCTGAGAGTCCCGGGGGTCACTTTGTTTGAGGGGGGGGGACTCTCTGAACATGTCTTTGGAGGCAGACCTGGAGCTGAGCAGTGAGGAGGCCTTTCTGCACCTTTTCCCCCTGCATCGCGCCTGTCGGGACGGGGACGTAGAGGCTCTGGTCGGGCTGCTCCACCGGCTCTCGGAGCACACGGCTGGGCACCTGAGCACCGAGGACTACCGCTTCGGATGGACCCCGCTGCACTGGGCTGCTCACTACGGGCAGGTGAGGCTGTGACTGCTCCATCTCATAATAATGTGTATCTGTGTGGAGTGAAATCCTCTGGAAGTATTTAGGTTAAATCAGAGTTGACCAAAAGCTGACCTCAAAAACACGTGTTTGTTGCTTTTGTTGTTTTCTTCTTGATATGTCACAGCGACGCACATCACAAATGACACCATTGCTTTGGTTTCATTTAAATTCATTCATAGGAAATAGGTCGCAGTGTTTTGATTGGCTGTAAAGTGACCAATCATGTTTCACGAGCAGAGGTCGATACCGGAAGACCTGCATTCAAATGTTGTTTTGATTAGTTAATTATTTATATTATCTTTTTCTCTTTTTGGGCTCTATCTGGTGTTATCTGTAGCTTTATACATGTACTTTTGTACATACTGAGATAATCTTATCGATAAATGTAGTTTTTGCCCTTCTTTGATGGTGTCATTCATTCAAAGTGTGAAAAAGATCCATTTGCTTCAAACGAACACACATTAAAAACACATTTTTATTTAGATTTTAAGATAATTATACCTTGCTTAAAGCCAAATATTTCCATTGTGACTGAGCTCCATCCTCCGGGACATGGAAGGTGAAGAGTATTGCATGTTATAACAAGAATTTTTGTATTGTACTATTATAATTTCTATTTTAAAGTGTTCTCTATCTATGTGTGGGTGCTCTGCTAATTATTTTAATAGATTTTTTGTTTGAGATATTTGTAAGTGACTGTCGATACTGAGTGAATTCTGTTTATAGTAGATAGTATTTGTAAAATGGGTTTATGACTGAGGAATTTGGAGTTTATGGAATTTTCAGAACAAAATGATAATTGTATGTATTTAATATTTCTCCTCAGCTGGAGTGCCTGATGCTCCTGGTGCAGATGGGCTGTGAGGTGAACACGGTGAGCAGCCGCTTTGACCAGACCCCCACCCACACCGCAGCCTTCGGGGGCCACTCTCACTGTGTGGTGTGGCTCACGAAAGCGGGGGCCGACGTCAACCGACAGGTCAGTGCATAAATCACACAATCACATCTTCATCTTGTAATCCAGATGGTTAACGCTGGAGGACCGTCACACTCGTTCCTCGCTCTCAAAACAGTTCAATCACTAATCCCGTATTAACTGACCTTCGGGAATTAAACAAGTATTCGATTAATTGAAAGAATAATTGGCCAACTAATCAATTACGAAGAATCAGAATCAGAATCATTTTTATTGCCACGTAAGTAACAGGAGGTCACAGACTAGGGTATTGTTTTGGTGCAACAGTCAGAAAGAACAAGACAACATGTTGTAGATGTAGATGGACAATGCTAACCCGCTAGCTCAGTGAGGCTCAAGGAGTTTTACTCCAACTCACTCTGGCTCTTATTGACATGCCTCGTGTACGGGCTTTGAATGGGACAAACTAAATGTATCCATAAAACCCAACAAACTGTTTTCCTTGAGAATGATTCTAAAATGACAAATGGTCGAGCGGTCGTCTTCTTTCCCTTTCTGATCCCAGGACCTGACCGGGGAGGCTCCCATCCACAAAGCGGCTCGCACCGGCAGTTTGGAGTGTATCCAGGTGCTGCTCGTCGCTGGAGCTGAGCCACAGTATGTTCCCTCTCAGTCCAAGTCAAAAATACTATAAATACTATAAATACTAACTGTACTATACTCATTTCAGTCGGCGTATCTTAGGTGAAATAACATTACAATCACATGTCTTGTTTCCAGCTGGTAATTCTGTTCTTACTCTTCATACTGCACATATATTTATGTTAGTGCTGTCAAATGATTACAATATAGTTTGACAATAAATGATTAATGTCATAGTTAACTCACAATTAATCACAAACAATCAGATATTTTTCCCTGATCTAAATGTCCCTCTGTTTGAGAAGTGATTGGACAATGCTAAAAGCTTATATTAATCCAATCCCCTCCAAAAAGAAAGTATTGAACTGTCTAATATATGCTAATGATCTGCTTTTGTTATTGCTTTTTACAGTGTATAAGTATCTAACATGGTGGTAGTAGAACTTGAACTGTGTAAATGATGATGACATAAAAACCGCAGTGGAAATAACTATAGTTTCAACAACGCTGCTACAAAGGCTTTGTGTTAACGTTTATATAATAGTTGGTCAAAGTCGAAACAAAATACACACAATGTAGATGTTTGTTGTGAACTTTTGAGCCAATATTTGAATCGTTTGTGTCTTTGATTTGAAACGCCGCTTGTGACGTTGTAGCTAATGTGACCGTGGTTTTGTCGGTTATAGCCGCAGAGAGGGAGGAGGTCCACATGGCCCAGGTACTGACCACGAGGGCCTCTGTACGGCTGCAGTGTGTCCTGCTCATGTGCACAAGGAAAGACATGATTATTACATGTTTACTTCCATTTTGTTCGTGGCAACAGGTTTTTCCAGATGAGAAAGTGGCTCCATTCATTCATCTGTGTTTTGTCTTGCCTGGCCTGCCAGACACTCCTCCTTTCTGTTCAAAAGAAGAACCGTCTGGACACCTCTTCCTAGCCTATCATTTCACGATTTTACCCACATCGGTCCAATCACGCACCGAGAGGCGGGACTTCCTTTCACCTTTGAGTTGCTAATAACTCCTCGTATCTTTAAGTTTTTTTTACAAAATCGACAGCAGTCGTTTACATTTGCACTAGCTGACATGCCGCCATCCCTTGTTTTGTGTTTACTGAAACGGCTTGGGTGCCGCTAGTTGCTGCGTCATATCCTGTGTGCATCTAATTGGTTGATGCAGTCTGTCAACCACGCCCACCGGGAATTCGCTGAGATCAAGCTCGTTTGTCTTTGAAAAAGCATATCGTTTGGCAGGCCAGGCAATGTTTTGTCACTGGCCTCGCGCGTTGAGTGAGTGTAGTTACAATAATGGGCCAGTAGAGGGCATGGACGTCGGAACTATTTTCTGAGAGGGGGGGCGGGTTTTTGTTGGGAGAGTCGAGGGAGAGACTCATACTTGGATTACACTGGATAATAACATACCATCTTAATTGTTAAGAAAAACAAAAAAATAAACAATATATATCAAGCAAGTCACTTATCAAACTGAACTTTTTTTTTTTCAATACGCATTCATGCGTCAGTCTCTCCGGTGGCTTCATTGTGTTGTGTAGCCCAGTGACGTGCGGTCAGATGAGGCAGGCAAGGCCCTCACCTAAGATCATAGAAAGAAAAGTAATATAATGGATACAATAACGTTTGGTCACTTTATCAAGTGATTTGTGCTGTGCCTTATTTAATTTATTTATACCTTGAAATCGCAGATTTGACAGAGCGGCGCTGTGAGGCAAGCCTCTCTTGGGAGACGTAAAAAGCAACAGCTCACAGGGAGAGTCCTGTGAGGTGCTATCAAACTGTTTTCTCTGTTTATCACAGTTTAAAAAGTTCAAAAATATTTAATTTACAATCAACATGTTTACATTTAAGAGGATGGCTCATAAATTGTGTTTTTGAAGCAAATACGGGTCTTAATCGCGCTCAACCACAGCTTGTAAGTGAGGAAAGCCTCAAGTGGGCGCTTGTGAGCCCAAACGTTGGCTGCATCCAATTCCATCAGAAAGCTCCTTTCTTGTTCTTTTCTGCTAAGGGCAGCTACAGGTTTGGCTAACCGCTAACATACCTATAATACATTTTAAGATAATTTAAAATGCACTTAGAGTAATGTTTTGCTTCCAATGATGATATGAATCATAAGAAAAGGAGGTGAAGGGTAAGGTTGAATTTAGAAATTGGATTTACCCGGGAGTCGGCTGCAGCAAAACTCGCAGTTTACGGAGGAGACACCCGTTTTTTTTACTTTTTAAAACTCATTGAACTTATTTCCAAATGGAGGATTACATGTCTGTGCTCAAACTATTATCTGGACTTAAACATGAAACTGGTCCTAACTGAAGTGGTCTGTGCTGTTCATTAATACCTAAGGTATAGGCCCATAACACACTTTGTACTTTTTACAAACGTTTGCGTTTTTTATGAGAAAACTATGCAGACATTAAATCATATTCTGCTGTAGCCAAACAAATTGTGTATAAGCCGCTCCTGTTCCTGTAGGTCCTGTTGGTTTATATGATGTATAATCATATGAACACATGATTGATCCCCCACCGCACGTCACTGGTGTAGCCAGGTCTCTAATCTGCGCAAGGCTGAGAAAGAGCGCTCAGAGGCTGCGACAGATATTAGCCAGACAGAGCTTCATAAGCACCTCCGACAGCATGGAGCGGGTTTTGGGCTGCAAGGAACGCAGGATAGTGATAACTTCTCGCTCCCGGCACACGCGGAGGGGGTGCGGCCGCACCCCCCGCACCCCTAGTTCCGACGTCTATGGTAGAGGGCAGCAGAACTGAATCTATGCAGTGGCCTATGGCAGTGGCACGCAAAAGTATTAATACAACTGGGAACTTAAGCACATTTAGTCACGTTTACGGCCACAGACAGAAAAGCTCTCCTATAAAGCATTATTAAAGCCTTTGATAAATATTTTAGAAACGGTTTAGAAAGGGTCTAAGGACGGTGATGATGGGAGACTTTCATCAACAGTAATATTATTTAAGCCTAATGATTCACAAAGGAAACTTAAGAATAGTTCTACATTTACCTTTGTCAAAGCCACAGTCGTAGAAGAAGGAGTTTAAAGCAATGTCAAAGCCACAGTTTGAAGTTTTGTTTCCTTCACCAAATCATGCATGGTTTTGCTTTCACTTCTGTCGTCTGGTTCTTTGTTGTGGTCTTTCAAAAAAAATCCAAAATACAAATCTCTGGATGTAAACATGACTACGGGGGCTGAGTGGTTAGAACTCTTGCTTCTCCTGATCCTGGGTTCGAATCCCGGACAGAACCAAGCTTTTCTGTATGGAGTTCTCCCTGTGTCTGCGTAGGTTTCCTCCGTGTGCTCCAGTTTCCACTACCACTAAAACCTCCAACACTAACCCTAACCCGACCACTGCTTCTGACCGAGGCCTAGAGACTATGAAGGATGGGTCAAATGCAGAGGACACATTTATAACTTAACAAAATGTGCAAAAGTTGGTATTAGTATTTTGCAAGACACTGTAAGCTTTAGTTTCTGTAGGCATGGCAACTGTCAGAAACTAAACCAAATGTGCATTCTTTGGCTTTTGATGATGTTTATTTGTAATATCTAAAGCCAAAATAGAAAGTGCTGATGCAGCTCTGGCCTCTGACAGTGTGAAGAACGCGTGTGGACAGACCGCAGCGGACCTGGCTCGGGCTCAGGGCTTTGCTGACTGCTTCCAGCTCATCTCCAGCCTCCTGCAGCTCCACGGCGCCCCTGGTGGTCAGAGCCAGGGCAGCAGGAAGAGGCTGCTGGGAGGACAGGAGCACAGCCGCAAGAAGAGGGCCAAGGCGGACGGTAAAAGCACTGTTTTTGTTCATTTCACAGTGACTTTTCTTGTATTTTAACATGTTTTCTTCCTGTACTTTTGACCTTGTTTAGTTGTGTACTTGTCTTGTGCACACTGGGGACTTTTACAAATGTCTTCCAATGTGGTTTTACTGCAAATAAACTACATCTGAATCTGATACTTTGGGAAAAGAGTGTTCAGGAGGCTCAGTGTGTTTTTTGCTCTGCAGAGGATCAGCAGCAGGAGCAGCAGCAGCAGGAGCAGCAGCAGCAGGAGCAGGAGCATCAGCAGCAGCAGCAGCAGCAGCAGGACGTCTGCATGGACTGTGGATCTCTTCCAGGTGAGCAGCTCTAGTGTGTGTATGGCCCTTTTAAACCATGTATAAATGTGTAAATACTTTACACTACATGTACTTTTGATCATTGACTTTATATGGACAACGCTAACCCGCTAGCTTAATGCAGCCCAATAGGGAAGTGGTCATGGACGAAGTTTGGCTCTATGGGTTACATTGAAAAGTAAACTATCTCAGTGACAGTTTGTGGTACTTATTAAGCATGGCTGGATCTAAAATCAACTCCAGGTCTATGACTGATGAGGAGCAATGTTGAAACATGGTTAAAAGTGAAAAGGTTGATTTGCAAAAAAATGAATCCATTGAATGTTTGGTTTAATATTTTTCAGATTTTCTACACTCGTCACAACCTTCTATAAGTGTCTCTCATTTGTGTTATTGAATCCTCACTTATTTGTTCCCAGATGAGAGCCCAGTCTTTCCGTCGCCTGAATCCCAAAGCTGTGGCTCTCTGCACGTGGGGGACGGCAGCCCGGATCGGCTGGGGCCCGGACCGTGTGGGCCCCTGGGAGCTGTGCGGCGGAGGGGAGGGTAGTATCCTGCTGTACGGACACTACCACGGCTACGGGGACACGGCAGAGGAGCTGGTCGCGCCGCTATGATGTCACGGCCGTTACATGTGGTCCTTTGGGTAGCATGCACTCGAGAATGCACTCGTAATCAAAGTGTTGGGAAATATTAAAGCTAGGAAACCAAACTTTCCAATCAAACTAACTCCTGGCTCTAAAACACTTTGCTTCTGTCACTAGTATTTTAGCCCCACCCCTCTCTCAGCCAATCAGCTCTCAGGATGTCAAATGTATTCTAATGAGGGAAAGACAGGCGTTTGTGGTCCTATTTGGAGATAATCTTTAACGAGTACGTAGTAAAAGGGACACAAGTTATAATTTAGTTTGAATCCTGGATATTTTCATGTTTACTTAAAGCAGATATGCCACTTTTGTTCACCAGGTTTGTCCCGGCGCCGAAAACCACGATTGTAAAACTGTTTTGACTGGATTCAGGCTGTTCTGAAATGTCTGAGGAACCAAAAACATTCAGAAATGTTCAAGTTTGTTCAATTGTTTTTCCAACCGATCCTGAAGTCGCTGCAGTGAGTCCAATTCAAGGAAAGTGCTTGATTTTGATCCAAGTTTTGTAAAATTTGTTTGACACGATCTTTTATGACATGTATGACTGTCTTTTTGCACTATCATCACACGGGTGCAGGGGCCTCGCACACGGGTGCAGGGGCCTCGCACACGGGTGCAGGGGCCTCGCACACGGGTGCAGGGGCCTCGCGCAGGGGCCTCGTACACGGGTGCAGGGGCCTCGCACACGGGTGCAGGGGCCTCGCGCAGGGGCCTCGTACACGGGTGCAGGGGCCTCGCACACGGGTGCAGGGGCCTCGTACACAGGTGTATAGGCTTCTTACACAGGTGCTGATGTTTCAATGTTGTCGTTTTGTAGAAGTTTGTACCTTTTGTATATTAAAAACAGCATTTCTAACCTTTGACCTTGACATTTGTGAAGTGATGTAATACATTTGAGTTGCACCTCCTGTGTGAAAGCCAGATCAGAGCTCTGAAGCTCAGCAGGGCAGGGCCTGGTTAGTGCTGTGATGGGAGACCACAGTGGGGCAGCTGTAAAGTAAACCGTTATTATTATTTGTTTATTTGATAGGGACAGAACAAGAAGCATTGTTACAGGAACCGATGCTGTGTTCATAGGCCGTATAGCTAACAGCTAGTTTGCAGACCTGGTCCCTAAAACCTAGAAATACATCACATTTACATTATACATACATCATTATATTAAAAATAAGTAATAAGTTATACTAAATAATAAACAAGAATACAATACAAAATACAAAAAAAAAAATAAGAATACAATTAAAGCCGCAAGCGGCGTCGAACGGCCCTCGCCGCACCGCGCGACTCCCCACACCGCGCACACCCCCCGCACCAAGCCACCCCGCACCACGCCACCCTGCACCACGCCGCCCCGCATCACGCCGCCCCGCACCAAGCCGCAACGCGCCGCTCCACAACGCCCCGCACTACGCCCCTAACTACGCCGCACCACACCGTACCACGCAGCACCTCTCAAAGGAGGTGGCGCCGCCGTGTGGTAATTTGTTTCCATAGCCATAGAAGATTGTAAGTCAAATTGTAATGAATATGATAAGTAGAGCTGGTTTGGCTCCCCATGTAAACTTTGACTCAGTCTGCAGGGGGCGCTAATGGGCCAATTTTAAATATTTCACTTTCAAATGATCTAAACCCTGGAGTTGAACAATGGATTCAAGTTTAATGCAAATCAGACTTTGTTTGTGCAAACGGGAAAAAAATTAATGTTGTCAGAAACGGCCAAAAAACCCTCACATTTTGCCGCTCCGCTGCTCAAACAACATTTCACTGATCAAAATTCCCTGAAGTCATTTTGATGGTATATGTGTTGAGAGGATGTGGAGCGATTTTGAGGTGAATCGGTGAAACGGCCGAGGCTGGTTTGATGTTTGTGTGAGGTGTACATTTGCAATGAATGGGGAGCGTTACTCGTCGCCACGGCAACAGGGTAAAAAATAAGCCTTGGACCCTATTGACTTTTTGAATCAAGAGGGCAAAACAGATTTATGTGCAAAATTTCAAACGTTTTGAAAAAAATAAATTTGAAAATGCCAATCTAAAACTTTGAAATAGTCTGTAGGGGGCGCTAATGTGTCAATTTGAATCAATTCACTTTCAAATGACCTAGACCCTAGAGTTGAACAATGTATTAAAGTTTTGTGCTAATCAGACTTTGTTTGTGCAAACGGGAGCAAATTTAATGTTGTCAAAAACGGCCAAAAAAAGGTCACATTTTGCCGCTCCGCTGCTCAAACAATGTTTCACTGATCAAAAATCCCTGAGGTCATTTTGAAGGTACATGTGTTGAGATGATGTGGAGCGATTTTGAGGCGAATCGGTGAAACGGCCGAGGAGGAGTCGCTTTCCAACCGACATGTATGAAAACTTTTGCTGTTCATTTTTCCATTTTGCAGTGAAATTTATGGGCTTCCTGTTTGTCAGAGGGCGGAGCCATAATAATATTTTTTTCTTGTCTTGACTTGAGGAACATGTGTACCGAATTTCATGACTCTACAACAAACTTGATCTTCAGAACTCCCATAGGGGTATTATTTTGGCTGTTGTAGGTGGCGCTGTTCTGGCATTTTTTGAGTCCCATAAAAATAAACACCAAAATATCAAATTTTTCGCCAGGTCTGATTTTTGGGCAAAATTTAACAACTTTTCATGCATGTTCAGGTGGTCAAATTAAGGCTCAAAGTGCAGAAGAAAAAAGAAAGAAAGAAATAAATTAAAGCCGCAAGCGGCGTCGAACGGCCCTCGCCGCACCGCGCAACTCCCCGCACCGCGCGCACCCCCCGCAACACACGCACCACCCCTTGCCAAGCCACCCCGCACCACGCCGTCCCGCATCACGCCGCCCCGCACCAAGCCGCAACGCGCCGCTCCACAACGCCCCGCACTACGCCGCACCACACCGTACCACGCAGCACCGCTCAAAGGAGGTGGCGCCGCCGTGTGATGATTTGTTCCCGTAGCCATAGAAGATTGTTAGTCAAATTGTAATGACTATGATAAGTAGAGCTGGTTTGGCTCCCCATGTAAACTTTGATTCAGTCTGTAGGGGGCGCTAATGGGCCAATTTCAAATATTTCACTTTCACCTGACCTAAACCCTGGAGTTGAACAATGGATTCAAGTTTAATGCAAATCAGACTTTGTTTGTCTAAACGGGAAAAAAATTAATGTTGTCAAAAACGGCAAAAAAACACTCACATTTTGCTGCTCCGCTGCTCAAACAACGTTTCACTGATCAAAATTCCCTGAAGTAATTTTGAAAGTCCTCCTGTGGACTCACCACCTGCAGAGGATCAGTGAGGGGCTGGTGCTATGAGACTTGGGTGGCATCTCTGATTGCCACCCCCCTGACCCAGAAATGGATTAAAGGGTAGAAAATGGATGGATGGATGGATGGATAATTTTGAAGGTAAATGTGTTGAGATGATTTGGAACAATTTTGAGGCCAATCGGTGAAACGGCGGAGGAAGAGTCGCTTACCAACCGACGTGTATGAAAATGATTGGTTTTCATTTTTCCATTTTGCAATGAAATTTATGGGCTTCCTGTTTGTCAGAGGGCTTAGCCATAATTACATTTTTTCCATGACTTGACTTGAGGAACATGTGTTCCAAATTACATGGTTCTATGACAATTTTGACCTCGAACTCCTCCCAGAGGCATTTTTAAATTGGCTGTTGTAGGTGGCGCTATAGAGCCAATTTCTAAATTTTAAATTTCAAATGACCTAGACCCAAGAGTTGATCCATGGATTCAAGTTTTGTGCAAATCAGACTTTGTTTGTGCAAACGGAAGCAATTTTTCTATCATCAAAAACTGAAAAAAAATAAGCCACTTTTTGGCGCTCTGCTGCTCAAAAAATGTTTCACTGATCAAAATTCCCTGAAGTCATTTTGATGGTACATGTGTTGAGATGATGTGGAGCGATTTTGAGGCAAATCGGTGAAACGGCCGTGGCTGGTTTGATGTTTGTGTGAGGTGTACATTTGCAAAGAATGGGGAGCGTTTCTCGTCGCCACGGCAACAGGGTGAAAAATAAGCCTTGGACCCAATTGACTTTTTGAATCAAGAGGGCAAAACAGATTTATGTGCAAAATTTCAAACATTTTGAAAAAACTAAATTTGAAAATGCCCATCTAAAACTTTGAAATAGTCTGTAGGGGGCGCTAATGTGTCAATTTGAATTAATTCACTTTCAAATGACCTAGACCCTAGAGTTGAACAATGTATTAAAGTTTTGTGCAAATCAGACTTTGTTTGTGCAAACGGGAGCAAATTTAATGTTGTCAAAAACGGCCAAAAAAAGGTCACATTTTGCCGCTCCGCTGCTCAAACAATGTTTCACTGATCAAAAATCCCTGAGGTCATTTTGAAGGTACATGTGTTGAGATGATGTGGAGCGATTTTGAGGCGAATCGGTGAAACGGCCGAGGCTGGTTTGATGTTTGTGTGAGGTGTACATTTGCAATGAATGGGGAGCGTTTCTCGTCGCCACGGCAACAGGGTAAAAAATAAGCCTTGGACCCAATTGACTTTTTGAATCAAGAGGGCAAAACAGATTTATGTGCAAAATTTCAAACATTTTGAAAAAACTAAATTTGAAAATGCCCATCTAAAACTTTGAAATAGTCTGTAGGGGGCGCTAATGTGTCAATTTGAATTATTTCACTTTCAAATGACCTAGACCCTAGAGTTCAACAATGTATTAAAGTTTTGTACAAATCAGACTTTGTTTGTTCAAACGGGAGCAAATTTAATGTTGTCAAAAACGGCCAAAAAAAGGTCACATTTTGCCGCTCCGCTGCTCAAACAATGTTTGATCAAAAATCCCTGAGGTCATTTTGAAGGTACATGTGTTGAGATGATGTGGAGCGAATTTGAGGCGAATCGGTGAAACGGCCGAGGAGGAGTCGCTTTCCAACCGACATGTATGAAAACTTTTGCTGTTCATTTTTCCATTTTGCAGTGAAATTTATGGGCTTCCTGTTTGTCAGAGGGCGGGGCCATAATAATATTTTTTTCTTGTCTTGACTTGAGGAACATGTGTACCAAATCTCATTTTTCTACGACAAACTTGACCTCCGAAAAGTCCCATAGGGGTATTATTTTGGCTGTTGTAGGTGGCGCTGTTCTGTCATTTTTTGAGTCCCATAAAAATAAACACCAAAATATCAAATTTTTCGCCAGGTCTGATTTTTGGGCCAAAATTAACAACTTTTCATGCATGTTCAGGGGGTCAAATTAAGGCTCAAAGTGCAGAAGAAAAAAGAAAGAAAGAAAGAAATAAATTAAAGCCGCAAGCGGCGTCAAACGGCCCTCGCCGCACCGCGCGACCCCCGCACCGCGCGCACCACCCCGTTCCACGCCGGCCTGCACCAAGCCACCCCGCACCAAGCCACCCCGCACCACGCCACCCTGCACCACGCTGTCCCGCCTCACGCCGCCCCGCACCAAGCCGCAATGCGCCGCTCCACAACGCCCCGCACTACGCCGCACCACACCGTACCACGCAGCACCGCTCAAAGGAGGTGGCGCCGTTGTGTGATGATTTGTTCCCGTAGCCATAGAAGATTGTTAGTCAAATTGTAATGAATATGATAAGTAGAGCTGGTTTGGCTCCCCATGTAAACTTTGACTCAGTCTTTAGGGGGCGCTAATGGGCCAATTTCAAATATTTCACTTTCACCTGACCTAAACCCTGGAGTTGAACAATGGATTCAAGTTTAATGCAAATCAGTCTTTGTTTGTGCAAACGGGGAAGAAATGTATGTTGTCAAAAACGGCCAAAAAAAACCCTCACATTTGGCCGCTCCGCTGCACAAACAACGTTTTACTGATCAAAAATCCCTGAAGTCATTTTGAAGGTAAATGTGTTGAGATGATTTGTAACAATTTTGAGGCCAATCAGTGAAACGGCCGAGGAGGAGTCGCTTTCCAACCGAAGTGTATGAGAATGATTGGTTTTCATTTTTCCATTTTGCAGTGAAATTTATGGGCTTCCTGTTTGTCGGAGGGATTAGTCATAATTAAATTTTTTCCATGTCTTGACTTGCGGAACATGTGTACCAAATTACATGGTTCTACGAAAATGTTGACCTCGAACCCCTCCCATAGGCATTTTTAAATTGGCTGTTGTAGGTGGCGCTATAGAGCCAATTTCAAAATTCTAACTTTCAAATTACCTAGACCCAAGAGTTAAACCATGGATTCAAGTTTTGTGCAAATCAGACTTTGTTTGTGCAAACGGAAGCAATTTTTCTTTTGTCAAAAACTGAAAAAAATACGCCACTTTTTGGCGCTCTGCTGCTCAAACAACGTTTCACTGATCAAAATTCCCTGAAGTCATTTTGAAGGCAAATGTTGTTGAGATAATGTGGAGCGATTTTGAGGTGAATTGGTGAAACGGCCGAGGCTGGTTTGATGTTTGTGTGAGGTGTACATTTGCAATGAATGGGGAGCGTTTGTCGTCGCCACGGCAACAGGGTAAAAAATAAGGCTTGGACCCTGTTGACTTTTTGAATCAAGAGGGCAAAACAGATTTATGTGCAAAATTTCAAACATTTTGAAAGAACTAAATTTGAAAATGCCCATCTAAAACTTTGAAATAGTCTGTAGGGGGCGCTAATGTGTCAATTTGAATTAATTCACTTTCAAACTACCTAGACCCTAGAGTTGAACAATGTATTAAAGTTTTGTGCAAATCAGACTTTGTTTGTGCAAACGGGAGCAAATTTAATGTTGTCAAAAACGGCCAAAAAAAGGTCACATTTTGCCGCTCCACTGCTCGAACAATGTTTCACTGATCAAAAATCCCCGAGGTCATTTTGAAGGTACATGTGTTGAGATGATGTGGAGCAAATTTGAGGCGAATCGTTGAAACGGCCGAGGAGGAGTCGCTTTCCAACCGACATGTATGAAAACTTTTGCTGTTCATTTTTCCATTTTGCAGTGAGATTTATGGGCTTCCTGTTTGTCAGAGGGCGGGGCCATAATAATATTTTTTTCTTGTCTTGACTTGAGGAACATGTGTACCAAATCTCATATTTCTACGACAAACTTGACCTCCGAAAAGTCCCATAGGGGTATTATTTTGGCTGTTGTAGGTGGCGCTGTTCTGTCATTTTTTGAGTCCCATAAAAATAAACACCAAAATATCAAATTTTTCGCCAGGTCTGATTTTTGGGCCAAAATTAACAACTTTTCATGCATATTCAGGGGGTCAAATTAAGGCTCAAAGTGCAGAAGAAAAAAGAAAGAAAGAAAGAAATAAATAAATAAATAAATAAATAAATAAATAAAAAAGGAATTTTTTGTGACTTGTCTCGAGCAAAAACAATATAGGTTTCAATGGCATGTGATTCATCATTTTAAAGCTTTTGAGTTTACGCACGCAACTGTCACGTTTTGGTGAGTGACGGGCGCTGACGCGTCCGTCACGCACCGCCACCATTTGTTTTCACCATTGTGAAAGCAATAGGCCCTTACCCCGTTCGGGGCTCGGGCCTAATAAATAAATTAAAGCCGCAAGCGGCGTCGAACGGCCCTCGCCGCACCGCGCGACTCCCCACACCGCGCACACCCCCCCACCAAGCCACCACGCCACCCTGCACCACGCCGTCCCAAACCACGCCGTCCCGAACCACGCCGTCCCGCACCACGCCGTCCCGCACCACGCCGTCCCGCATCACGCCGCCCTGCAGCAAGCCGCAACGTGCCGCTCCACAACGCCCCGCACTACTCCCCGCACTACGCCGCACCACACCGTACCACGCAGCACCACGCATAAGAGGTGGCGCCGCCGTGTGATGATTGGTTCCCGTAGCCATAGAAGAACTTAGTCAAATTGTAATGAATATGATAAGTAGAGCTGGTTTGGCTCCCTATGTAAACTTTACTTCAGTCTGTAGGGGGCGCTAACGGGCCATTTTCAAATATTTCACTTTCACCTGACCTAAACCCTGGAGTTGATCAATGGCTTCAAGTTAAATGCAAATCAGTCTTTGTTTGTGCAAACCAAGCCCCGGCGATTCAAGATGGCGCCCTATTCAAATGAATGGTTGTGCTCAGTGGCGCTTTGTGACGGCACGGTCGCTGACATATTGGCGGAAGTTGCCTGAAACTCGCAAAGCTCTATGGGAAAATCGCCTGTATTTGGGCATCCTCTGGTCCTCCCGGTTATGCGCAGTGGATGACCTCCCATAATGCTTTGTGCCTCGAACGACGAGAACGCGGACCTCAAGCGGGAGCGTGCAGCACCACAGACCCGTGAACGCGCATGAATCGAGCGAATTAAGTTCTATCACTGTTTAAGTAAAGATTGATATTAAAATATATGTACAATTGATCAATTATTTTAAGATGGTGTAGAGCAGTATGACAGAGCCTTCTTGTTGTTGATTCTTAATCATTATCTACTAAGTATTTATGATAAGCTAAATGTACAATGATTATATACTTTTTCGTAACGCTTATACTGTGGCATTCACCTGTAGGCCGCCGTGTTTTAAGCAAAATGTCAGTGATGTGTTAACAAGTACTGCAAGATAATTAAGACCATTGTGGATAGATCAAAAAGCTATGATTTAGTCTTTTGTCCTCGTGAATTGTAATTATTATATTAACGTAATTAATAAGTATTATTCTCTATATACACACACACATTATGTATGTATATATATATATATGTGTGTGTGTGTTTTCCATGAAAAGTCACACTTGTTCACCACCACACGTTGTGAAATGAATAGAAAATAGAGTCAAGACATTGACAACGTTAGAAATAATGATTTGTATTAGAAATAAGATTTGTTTTACATCCAACTTTGCTTTTGTCAAAGAATCCTCCATTTGCAGCAATTACAACATTGCACCAAAAACCAGACATTTGCAGCTAGAACAGCAGTCATTTACCACATAAGCAGTGTACAGAGTGTATTTCTTTACAGTTAAGACTATAGTTTAAAGTTATCTACAGCTTTTCCTTCAACATTGAGGACATTTCAATGTGACCCCAAACTTTTGAACGGTAGAGTATATATTCAGGACTCCCTTGAAAAAGGGGTTCTTTATCTCAATGGGACTTTTCTGGTTAAATAAAACAAAACTAGTTAAGCCACGTATTTGTTTCAGCTGTCTATAATAGGATATTCAAGTATGTATATCTATTTCATTTGCTTAACTCTGGAAATTATGTTACTGTGTATTTATTTATAAGTTATCATATTTATACTTTCAAATTAAATTATAAAAAACAAGTTGCATTTGTTGTGATTTTTAATCTACAAAAAAAATGAAAAGCAGTGATTCCATTAAAAATGGCTATATACAAAACACGTAGAACATAATAACAACAGGGATAACCAAAAAAAAAAAAAAAGATGAAGGTAAAAATATGTGTCATTCACGCACACATTCACCAATCATTCTAAGTGATCCTACCACAAAGGATGAGGCCCTGACTATTTTAAAACTCAAATACACTAACAGAAAAATGCACTGTCACTGTGTTTAAAACAAATAGTTTAGACACAGTGACAGTGATTTTTCAATGCTGTGGCTAAATTGTTTAAGAAAATGTCATTCCCCATATTTGAGAAATGAACTCCGTCCCTAATAAATAGACCAGGGCAGTCAAACTTTATGGTAGGATGACAGACCATGCATCCGCCAAGGCCACTCACAAACGTTTTTAAAACATTATTAATAAAGCGTTTTGCACGATTGATCCGCCCCGGCTGGGCGTCCCTCCACAGGCGGCGATCGGTCAGTTGCGAAAAAAAAATGTCCATCGATGGATACCGCCTATGGAGGTCCAGAAGGTCCCGCTTCATCGCTGCGACCAAGTCCACGCTCTTCACCTTCCCGAGGTCGTTGCTGCCGCAGCAGATGAGCAGGACAGCCGGGGCGGACCGTCCCCGTAGCAAGCGAAAAAGCCACGGCACCAGGCTGCTCCAGCGGAGTCCTCCGCGGCCAAACCACTGGACGTGGGCCGCCATCCCTAAATTGTGACCAAGGGTCTCGGCTGCCCGGTCGCGACCACGCCGTACGTAACTGTCCCCAATAATCCATATGGTGGGTCCTATTCAAATACACATTAAATTGTGTTCGTTGATAACATTCAATCGTACAATATCAGCATTTTACCTTCAACAATGTGCACAGATGGCATCTGGCTGGTTCGCTGCTGCTGCCCATTCATTGTAACTTGATACTGACAAAATAAATGCATGATTACAAAACGCTTTTGCATAAATGAAATACGAATAATTATTCACACTTACCTAGCCCGTTGCCTTGCGTTGACCGTGGTAAAGTCATCCATGGGTAAAGTGCGTTCAAAATTGAGTGATCAGAGTTTTAATAGTGGGGGAGGAGTTTGTACAAAATGTATCAAAACACCTGTAATGGTCTTAGCGGCACTATAAATACTTCACAAACTTTCCCACGGGCCCTTTTGCCTTGTTTGACGGTGACCCGAGTGAACGACGCAAAAATGCCTTCGTGTTCTGCTTTCAACTGCACCAATGGATCTCGTAGTGCGAAGCATCAATTCCAACTTTTCAGGTAAATTAAAATGTAAATTCATTTTTGGTTTAATTAAACGAGCAATATAATAAGCAGCGCGGGGATCTGTTAGCTATGCTAATACCCCTTCATACATCCACTGCGTTCCGTCATGTATTTTATAACTTGTAACTTCAACCTGGTTAAAAAAGACAATAATATATATATTGTATGTCATGATCAATAAGCAGAGTACTAGCCTGCTAGCTTAGCCTCCTGCTAATATTAATTGGACTAGCTAGATGTCGTCTGAACAACCCATGGATCTATTATATTAACAACCGTTTTACTTTTATTCCTTTCTTGTGTTAAGTTGGACATTTATGGTACACAGTAGTTGAGACAGTACATTTGTAGAACTTGTAAATTGCACGTTTGAAGGAATTAGCTGCCACATGGTTTACCTACTTATTATAACTCTTATGCATTACCCATGGATCCATTACAATGTCGTTATTACCCTGTAAACTTTGCACTATATTTATAGATTGATCTGAAATAAAGATATTGGAGCATTTACAGCTAGCTAAGAAACATTGCAGCTACTAATTTAGTACATATTGTGTGCTCTTATTACTGTCCTGTATGTGCGCTTCAACTTTGAATTTTCCCCAATGTGGGACTAATAAAGGATCTCTTATCTTGTCTTTTTCGGCGAAGAGGATAAAATGATGGTAAAAAGCACATTAAATGTATGATTGGAGCTGCAATTTCTCCTTCTTTTAGTTAAAAAAATACTGAAAATCATCTTATTTCTGTTACATAAAATGCACACATAGTCAATATGCAATTAGTTAATGTGATCATTAACATATATAAGATCAAGAAAAAAAAAAATTGTTTTCTGCTCTGTCTTACAGATTTCCTCTGAATGAAAAGAAGAGACTGGCACAATGGGTTGCAAAAGTGAGGCGTAAGAACTGGGTGCCAAGTTCAAACTCCAGGCTGTGTGCTGCTCACTTTGCTGAGGAATGCTTTTTGGTCAAAGGTGGTAAGCGGTCCCTTACTCCATTAGCTATTCCTACTATATTTGACTATTCCCTCAAAGGTCAGTTTGTATCAGCTCAGAAATCACCCACCATTGCCTTTGCTGCACTCATTACAGGTAAGGATCACACATATGCAAGTAAATTTGAGAACGTTGAGCTGACTGAAGACAAAGTTATTGAGTTTGACCAACACACACAAAGCTCAATCTTTGATACCAGCAGTGACATGTCCTCAACTCATGAGCCACAACACTCATCCCCCCCTAAAACAGCAGTTGCGTTACATTCTACAAGCCAGGTACATCTGTTGGAAGATGGAAACACCGGAGTGGATGAATTACACATTCAGGACAGCGAGCTAACTCAAGACAGCGACATTGACAAACTCCAGTTCTCTCCCCAGATCACATCTCTAGTACAGTCAGCAATAACCCTGGATCATCAGTATGTGGCCGGAGACATTCAGGAGAGCGAGCTCACTCAAGACAGCGATATTGACAAACTCCAGTTCTCTCCCCAGATCACATCTCTAGTACAGTCAGCAATAACCCTGGATCATCAGTATGTGGCCGGAGACATTCAGGAGAGCGAGCTCACTCAAGACAGCGATATTGACAAACTCCAGTTCTCTCCCCAGATCACATCTCTAGTACAGTCAGCAATAACCCTGGATCATCAGTATGTGGCCGGAGACATTCAGGAGAGCGAGCTCACTCAAGACAGCGATATTGACAAACTCCAGTTCTCTCCCCAGATCAGACATTTTGTAAAGTCCTCAATAAGTAAGGAACATAATTATAGAATATCAGAATCACCCAAAAGCGCTAAGCGCAAAAACGGAGACTCAATTGGACCACTGTCGCAAAAGGCTTAGGACGGAAAAACAAAAGACAAAACGATTGAAGAAGACAATTCATTCCCTATCAGCGGTAATTGAAGAGCTCAAAGACAAACGCCTGATTTCTACGGGGTGCTCTGAAATGATGGAGAATTCTTTCAGTGGTGTCACAAAGGAAATTATTACCAGAATGGAAAAAGGTAACAAGTCAAAAGTGTCAGAGGAACTGCAGTGTTTTGCTTTGACTCTACATTTTTACTCAGCCAAGGCATATTCCTATGTGCGTGAGTGTTTCGACCTGGCTTTACCTCATCCAGACACCATCAGGAAATGGTACAGTGAAGTTTCATCTGATCCTGGCTTCACAAAGGCGTCTTTTGTAGCTCTTCGGGCCCATGTACAGAAAAGGCAGCAGTTAGGAAAGGAGACCTTTGTGCTTTGATGATGGATGAAATGGCAATAAGAAAGCATATAGAATATAGCGCTGGGAGATTTCATGGATATGTTGATCTGGGATGTGGCATCGTGGACGACAGTCTTCCTCCAGCTAGAGACGCTCTCGTCATCATGGTTGTTGCCATAGACGATTCCTGGAAGCTCCCAGTGGCCTATTTCTTTATTGATTCACTCACTGGTGAAGAAAGAGCAAACATCGTGAGTGAATGCCTTTGTCGGCTTCACAATGTTGGGGTACGTATTGTTTCGCTAACATGTGATGGTCCATCATGCCATTTCTCTATGCTCAAAGCCCTAGGAGCAGACTTGGATGTGCTTTCTATGCGGCCCTCCTTTCCACATCCGTCCAGTCAGTCTCCAGTTCATGTACTTTTGGATGTGTGTCACATGGTAAAGCTGCTCAGAAATACACTTGCTGATTGGGGTGTTCTGCAAACATCAACAGGTAAGATTGAGTGGAGGTATCTTGTTGAGCTGAATAAGCTCCAAGAGAAAGAGGGTCTCAGACTTGGAAACAAGTTGAAGATGGCGCATATAAAGTGGGAAAAAACAAAAGGATCGAAGGTGAAGCTGGCCACACAGGTTTTCAGCTAGTAGTGTCGCTGATGCTCTTGAATATTGCAACCAAGCATCTGCACTGCCTCAGTTCAGAGGTTGTGAGGAGACGGTAGACTTCCTGAGAACCATCGATGCTGCATTTGATGTTCTCAACAGTAGGAATCCCCTTGGAAAGGGATCCAAGGCACCCATGCGAACATCAAACCCGAACAGAGAACAAACTGCAGCAATCCTTGCGAAAGCAGAGTCCACTCTACTTTCTCTCAGCGCTGGAAATGGGAAATCAGTGCCATGCTGGAAGACGAAAAACATGCATTATTAGGCTTAAAATTGCTAGTGCCCGAAGTGCACAGAACATCTTCCATGACCTAGTGGAAAAGGATGATGCTCAGTGCCGCTATCTACTGACGTATAAGCTCAGTCAGGATCACCTTGAGCTTTTCTTCTCCTCAGTTAGAGCACGTGGTGGATTCAACAACAATCCCACAACCACACAGTTCACTGCAGCCTACAAACGCCTTCTCGTCAGACAGCAGGTGAATACTGGCACAGGAAATTGTCTCCTTCTAGACAACACAGGCATTCTAGGCGTGACTCCTGCGTCAATTAACACCATGCGCAGATTCAACCTGGAGCCCGTTCTGGAAGCCCAGTCTGAGCATGACTACTTACTCTGTCCTGATGTTGATTCCATCTCTGAATACAAAGATGCTGTAATCAACTACATAGCAGGATTTGTCGTCAGGAAGATAAAGGAGAAACATCTTTGCACACCATGCTCTGATGCGTTGACATCTGACAACTCCGTCCATCCCTTTGTTCTCCTGAAGAATAGAGGTGGATTGCAGAAGCCATCTGAGGGAATCATTTCAGTATGTAAAGAAGCAGAGCGGTGTTTCCAACGCATACTGAGATCAACCTCTGGAAAAACAATGGGATTAAAGTTTGTGCAAATCAGACTTTGTTTGTGCAAACAGAGCAAAATTAATGTTGTCAAAAAGAGCCAAAAAAACCTCACATTTTGGTGCTCCGCTGCTTAAACATACGTTTTTCCACGATCAAAATTCCTGAATCATTTTGAAAAGGTACATGTGTTGAGATGATGTGGACGATTTTGAGGCGAATCGTGAAACGGCCGAGGCTGGCTTTGATGTTTGTGTGAGGTGTACATTTGCAATGAAAGGGGAGGCATTTGTCGTCGCCATGGCAACAGGAAAAGATAAGCCCTTGGACCCTATTGACTTTTTGATCAAGATACTCCATCCTTTGTTCACAAACATGGCCATGGACCTAAAGTCCTAAACAAAAAAACATGCAAATGTAAGCTATGCAAATATTGGCTTTTGAAAAGTAAAGTGCACAAAAATAGGTATTTTTTTAGGGATGCACTGATATAAAAAAAAAAATTGTCCACTCCCCTTTGGCCCTCCGCGGGCGGTTATCCCTCTCTAAGCTCGGGTCCTCTACCAGAGGCCTGGGAGCTTGAGGGTTCTGTGCAGTATCTTTGCTGTTCCTAGCACTGCACATTTCTGGACCGAGATGTCCGAGGTTGTTCCGGGGATCCGCTGTAACCACTCTTCTAGCTTCGGGGTCACTGCCCCGAGTGCACCGATCACCACGGGCACTACTGTCACCTTTACCCTCCAGGCCCTCTCCAGCTCCTCTTTGAGAGGTTTAACTTTCGAGTTTTAACTTTCGAGTTTTAACATCATATATATGCGAGAAAAGTACATACACATGCACATGCCGTGTAGGGGCTTGTTC